ATAGGTACACGTTTAGTAATCACTTATCAGTATACATTGTATTATTTCAGTATTCAATGGTTTTATTTACTTGAACCGAAATGTTTTTTAAAAAGTACATAATTTTGCTGCGAGGCGCCGAGGCCCCTTTCACGATGAGGCCCGCGGAAAATCCCGGCTTCAATCATATGTAGTTCCGCCACTGCAGTATGTATTAATAATTAATAGGCTATAGATGTATATGTTTTTATACGACTAAAATATATGTACATAAATATTTGCTAAAAAACTCAAAATAAGTATAAATAATCACTAATGTGATTTATTTATTTATCTTATGCTCTTATGACCTAACCTAAATTATCTTAAAAATTAAAAAAAAAACATTTATATAAAACGATTATTTATATTTGCTGCTATCAATATTTAATTACAAATCTTGACTACATTAATGAAATTTATTTTGGAGCTTTTCCAGATTAAGGTGATCGCACTTTCATCATGATTTGATCAATTTCAATTATAAATGAATAAATTTCTGTTTTATCCAACGCGTACAAAAAATGAATACACACTGAGTAAACCACGAAACATACACTATGACGACACGTCGTKTGCTTATCAACATTTCAGATATCAAGAATAAATATTAATTGATATAGGCACCTATTGATAACATATATCTGATATTTAATCTTATAAAATGACATATAGAAATAGTTGGCAAAATAATATACAATAGGATATTAGTTTATATGCGAGAAAAGACGGAATCATTGAACAATATGTAAAAACATACCATGCTGGTATTTATCTATCATAAGATATGAAAAATATGAAAAATAGATTAAAATATATAATTCGATTGACAATCACGTGAAACTTATCCATTGAGACACGGTGAAAACATGTATTTACCTCTCAATTCGTGGCTAACTGCAATTATGTAATTTATAATAAATTTCATAATGTTATAATAAGCAAACATGACGAAAATGCGTATTTGAACCTAATCGACCACCAGTTTTTCGTTACATGAATTCTTCTCTTTCATTTAGTGTTTTAGACTGTATAAAGTATTTAGACAGTTGCATTTAAATATCTACCTAAAGCAACAAGGTTCGCTTAGGATTAAAATTGTAAACGCGAGTAACACGGCGTAACATATAGGCAAAATAGGTACGTTGTAGTGTAGAAAAACAGCAATAGTGAAAATGAAAAAAATTGTTCGGTTGAAACTGTGTAAGTGGCTACTTTAATCTGATTTCATCATGTTTGTACAGTAAGACTTCGTGTTATATGACACTTTGATGAAATTTTTTATTCAACTGATACTATAAAACAATGGTTAGTGGTTATGATTTATACTTATATTTTAATATTTTGTAAAAAATTATAAAAATATAATATTATTTTTTAATTTAATTTTCAGATATAAGTATTTAGTTCTTAAACCGTATGTATATTGACATTATTTATATCATGCCTAACAAGTTTGTTTGAACATTGTTACAAGGTTTTTGAAAAGTTTTRCTTACATTGTAATGCTGGCCTCTCATACACCTAGACATTTGAAATGTACGTAAAAAAAAATTAAAAAACCATAATTTGGATTTATAAAAATTTTAAATTTTAAATTCCATTGAAATAACAAACAAACAAGTCGGAGAGGGGAGCAACTTCGTATATACAAATGGTAATTAACAAATGCTTATCGAAAATAATGATAAAAATAATAAACAGCTTAATTTAATATTTTCAATTCAACTGTTACAATAATATAATAATAATTCATTCGTTTTCCTTTAGTTTTTTCTATTTTTGTTATTAAAGAGTTGATCATAAAAAAATACGATATTGTCGATATTCTATAATTCAAATAATAGCATTATTATGATACATACTGAAAATTTACAATTTTATAGATACGCGTACTTATAACACATTAAAAGTTTTCGGTAACAACAAAACAATWTATAATTCCAAAAACACAGAGTTACARACACTACCCAATTAGTTATTTATTTATTTTTATTTATCTAGAGCCCGGTAACTATATGTAATTAGCTATTTAAGCGGTTACGGTTGATTATACTATACGTGTATGTGGRTTACCACTAAGAACCCGAGTGGTCACCCATCTGAAATTTAGTGGCATCGGTTGGTGATGGCAGTCAGAACACTGGCTTGTGTTCTTAAACAGACATTGAGCCACGCCATCGACAGGCCTATTTATGGTTTTGTAATAAATTAAACAAAATAACAATAATTTGACTGATTTTAATATCATATAATATATTATTATTCATTGTATACAATTACTTATTGGTTCTTTTCGTATGAACATTTATTATTATAAATCTTAATTATTAGCTTATTATTTTAAAGTAAGACAATAGTTGACCTACCATATACCTACTCTCAGTGTCAGCTTGGCCGAGGCGCTTAGCTTTTTTTGAACCAAAGTAAATCAAGTATCTACCTATAAGTATTAACCTTGGAACTTTTCAAGCATATATGCGATTTTTTCCGTGAAAATGTATTTAACCACCTTTAGTGCTAGTGCATATAAAAGTAAAATAAAACAAATTAATGAATCATAATAATATCATAAAATATACTTATTAATATTATTTATTTTCTATCATTGAATCCTCAATTTAACACCTACGGTGACTTCTCTAGACTCGAAGAAGTGTAGGTACAGCAGATCGTTATCCAATTACTTGCGTTTTTATAGTTTTAAAATTTAATAAAGATTAACTTTAAACAAATTAATTAAAATTTCATGAATATAATTCAATAATTACATAAAATAGCCCGTAGGTAGGRTACCTAAACAAAAATTCTGCCTTGGACTTTTGCCTTTAGTGGCCAGGCCGATACTACCTGCTTTTCAAGTGTCTAATATTACATATAATCATATTATTAAGTTGTTTCAACTGTTAATAGTAATAACCAAGGCTCGGAACTTTATGCGCTAAAAATTACTCAAATATGGGCATACATATGCGTTAAAATACATCTAAATATGCGGTATAATATACAGTAAAAAAATGGAAAATATGCAATTTATGTTATTACTAATTACTATTACTTATCTTACTTAAACTAACATGGATTGTACAGTTTTTGTCTCCAAAACACATTGAATAGATCATGGATAAAAAGCACATCCGGTATCGCAATTATTTAGCACCCCAATGGTTTTAGGTCGCAAGTTCATTGGCTGAGTATCAAATATCCAACTTTTTAATGTTCAAAAATCGCGCCAACTCCAAAAAAATTAACTGTTTCTTAGGATCTTAGCTATACCATTTTTGAAAAAATTTGTACGAACTCATACCAATTGTGTATAATATACTAAACAATGGAACAAAAAGAAAAATAATACTTCCAGAAGCCATCGATGGTAAGAAGGAAGGGGTGGGGTGCAGGGGTAACGTCATATAATATGTTTTATCATTCCCCCTATTATTACACTACAGTTTTAGTACAATAGTACCCATTGTTTAAATCAAGTAGGTTAACAATAAATTACGGTTTTGACATGTTCCACGATTTCGTAGCTTTAACTCAATAAAATTGTATAGGTAATTACTTCAAATCACGTGTTATGCATTAATACGATACTTATAGGTTATACTTAATCACAGAATAGGTGAAACTACTACAACTATTCCGTTACTTAAAAGTTAATGTCTATGTTTTTTATAATATGGCAGTCGACCGATTAGCGTAATCCGTTTTTACATAATATTATTGTTAAAAATTTATCACCTCGGGCCTCATACTACGAATTTCGGTATAAAAATGTCCAACCCTAGGAAAAAATATCCCCATATTACATTATTAGGTACCTACTCTGATAAAAATTATTTATGTAGATATTTCTTACAAATAGGTATATTATATATTATACTTATCATTTAAAAAATTAATATATATTAAATAATATCCTTAAATAAAATATTACGTTTCGATGATAATGTGTAAGATACTTATAAGAATTTAAAATGTTTCGGTAATTGTGTTATGTAATGTTATCAACATAATATAATATAACAAAAGGTAAAAGGTTAAACTTATAMATATTTTATCTGTAATAGACTCACGACGTAATTTGAATACGGGTCAGTGAGCTTTTCACTATTTGTGCACCCCCAAAATTATTGGCCTATGGTTACGTACGCATTACACGAGCGATGAATCCTGTTTGAATTGTATTATAGGTAAGGTACCAGGTACCTACTTAGTACTTACTAATATTCGTGCCACCAGGACTAGGACACTGGACGTAAATACAACAATACGACATTTTAAATGTACACATTTTTATCATTGTAATAATTATCCTTGACTTAGATGATCGAAGATCAAAGATCCTTGAATGTTGATCGATATTCGCGATACCTCGGCACTGATAATTTTCATCGGTGATAAGAGATAATTGATAATACGGATCATGCGTAATAGCATTTTTCGCGTACATAATAATAATATTGTAATTGTAAATATTGTAATACTCCAATCCAATGTACGGTAATAGACGTCGTAGGACATACGTAACATTATTGTAATATTATTGTAATATTATTAATTAGTAATTACCTACTGTGTATTATTAATATTACACGTTATCCTTCGGTGTTAGGTTCATCGTCATCGTCGTCGTCGTTTTAGCTGACCGTTCGACGACAATAATAAATTAATAAATAAATAACAGTGCTGTGATTATGGTTTTTCGAACGACGATCGCATCGTCTGGCCCGCATAGGCGGAATAACAACYGTGAGCAGCTGTGATGACATTTCAAGAACAGGTCGTCCCTCCTCCGTCGCACAACGACACATCCACGATAGGCTGTCTGCACGGTCTGTCCACGTTCGCCAAGCTCTACACGCTCACCGTACTCGACGACTGTTTCTCGGTGTCGGACCTGCGCGCCGTGATCGTTCGGGCCCTGTACGACACGCTGCACTTTGTCAGCTTCGACCGATTCCAGGTAGACATATTCAACTCGCTAGTGCTGTTTGAGAGTCTGCTGCTTGTCCTGTTGATATTCGTGTGGGGCAAGTACAGCGGAGACATCTACCAGCGTTTCCTGTCTACCGGTTGGTAACACATCGTTTTCGGAACGTTCTGTCAGAGTTTGTAGTTAGGTGGAGGTAYTCAACAGACGTTCGTGTTTGTTTTTCCAGACACTGTGGTTGATGAACTAAGGGAGGACGTGTCCCAGTTGAAGTTGCCCAAATCGTACACCCCGCGCATATAATGAGCGATAAATTGAAAAAATTTTTTCAAAAAAAAAAAGCTGACGTCAAATTCAAAAGAGCGGGGCCCGGTCACCGTTTGAATGAAGGTGCCGCCACAGCCAAGAACGTAGCCAAACCGGGCGAGACGTCTCGTGCCTGTAGAGTTGAACCTACCGATGAAGCCAAACAGGCGGCAGCTGCAGCCTTGGCCCGGTTTGAGAGTAARAAGACCACCACTGGCCCTCTTAACATGTGAGTTAAATTTCGTACCGCATTAGGCGGTCTGTTGTGAGAATAATGTTTAATATATGTTGCAAGCGGGTACAATTTTGATTTTCAGTTCGTTGGCTGCCATCAAGTCAAGAGCTAGAAAAGAAATGGAAGCTGAGAGAAAAAACATGAATCAAAACATAGATACATTTACACGTTCAGAAGAAGAAATTACAAATGCGGAAGTCCCTGGCCAGTTAGCTGCTAGTGGTATTTTTTTCCAATGCCCAATGATAGGTAAGTTCTAATTTTTTATATTTCATTAGATTTACTGGACTAGTTAAAAAAAAAAAAATGTGTTAATTAAATAAATTGCATTTAGGCTTGGAAGTCTTGCCACAAGAAGAATGGCATGTAAAAATTGAAGAATTTATAAAAGAACAAATGAAAGATGATCCTATACTACAATCGATTCTACTAATCCAAAACTGCAATCACAATAGGACCAAGGTAAAATAAAATCTTCCTAGCTAATACTGTAGAATTAACTAAACCATTTTAMTAATAATTTTCTGTTGAATAGGTTGAAGAGTGTATTAAGTTGCTGGTAACATATGCAGAAAATATCATTAGGAATAAGGATGAAGAAAAATATCGGAAAATCAGATTAACGAATAAGACATTTGTGGAAAAAGTGTTGCCAATTAAAGGAGCAATTGAGTTCTTAGAATCTATTGGTTTTGTTAAAAAAAGACTTATGTACCAAGAACAAGAAGAAGATTTTTTAGTTTTCCCAGAAGAATGTTTAAGTGATTTAGCTTCAGTGCAGACCACTGTGGACGATTTGCAGTCTGCAGAACGCATTCAATTGGTCTTGGATAGAAATGCTCAGGTTCTTTTACCGTCACAAGCATCAAAACAAGTGTCATTACCTCCAGAGTTTTTCATAATCTCTACTGCTGAAATTAAAGCAGAACATCAAAAAAGGTAAATACAATAAATAATTATTGACATAAATGATGTAGATTGTCTTCAATTTATCCATAACAAAAAATTAGCTTCCACATAGAATAAGTTATTTATCATGAAAATTTAATGCTAAGGATTTTAGTGAGTTAGTTTTGAGCAAAACCATTTTTGTTTATGAATTATGGGTGACATTAGCATGTGGCGTAAGTCCTTTTAATGGATAAACAGTACTTTTTTCAAATGAAAAATAAACATAACATACACAAATATTAAATGACACAACTTATTTATTTAATTTTAGAACTGAAAAATTGGAGAGTGAAATGATTTTAAAAACTAAAAATATGCGTATGAAAGAGCAAAACAGATATAAATCAAATTACAAGTACTGTTTAATTCGAGTGAAGTTTCCTGACTGTTTGATTTTACAGGTAAACTTTTATTGATTATAATTTATTTTAAGGTTAGGTTATGCTTCTTGTCTTCGACTCACTAGTGCATAACAAGACAAATTTACGCTCTGCAGATCACGTTTAGCTTCATTAGTTTAAAAATTAGAGTGAACCGACTTATTATGATGCTTGATTGTAAGAATATTATTTGTGTTTGTATGTAGCGAGATTTTTTTTACAATAGTTCAATTTTGTWGCAAGTTTTGCTCATAACTCACTTGAAAACTCCTCATACAAACACAGATAATTTTCTTACCATCAACTTTCTTCATTGGTCAATTTACTCTAATTTTTAAACTAACCGACTTAAACGTAATCTGTTAAGCGTACATTTGCTATGTTATGCACATGTAAGACGGAAACTGCGAGTATGTGTGTAACGTCCTTTTAAATGTCATTTATTTAATATTGTATAATTTATTCAATCAGGGTACATTTGGTGTCAATGAGCATTTGTCCGACGTACTCGAATTTGTCAAAGAAAGCGTATTTGACGAAGAACGTCCATTCAAGCTGATACAACCCAGTGGAAGTACGTTTGGTATCGAGCACGAGAACATGACCTTAAGCGATTTGAACTTAGTGCCTACCACTGTTTTACTTTTTACAAATGATCCCCCTGAAAATAATGAGGAACATCCTTATTTAAAAGACGAGCTCATGGCGTTGGTTCAATAACTTTTAATTACATTTTTTTTTTTCTAATCAATTGTGATAAATTTCAATAACCAATTTAATTGTGTATTGTTTAACTTATACTTGGGTACAATCAATGAATATATTTAATTAGTTTCTTTTTGACTTTGTTAATTATATAATATAATTTATCTCATACTTTGTTACAAAAAAAAAAAAATATGTATTAATTCTAAAAATGTAACATTTCTTTTCTTTTAATTTATTTATACTGTTTCATCTAAACCAGCCACATATATTTAAAACACTGCATAGAAATTATAATTGTTATTTTGATCCTTTTGATAAGGTAAACATTATATTTCTCATTTTCATTTGAAAAATAAGTATCATGTTCATATATATTAAAATTTATTTTTTAAATGTCCACAGAAACTATTGAAACATATTGTAATATTGTGTATTATTATGGTAAAATAAATTTATAATTTATGAAAATTACATTTTTTTTTTCGTCTATAAGTAACCGTACAGATGTGAGGAATATTAAAATATTGCTTACGACTAATGGCTATTGAATTAGAATATGTGAGTACTGAAATTTGTACCAATCATAWTTATTTATCAGTAATATTAATTATTATTAGATATCATAATAATGTCACAATAAAATTGTACAAACTTATAAGTATAAGTATTTAAAAGTTTCTCATAAATGTATGTCACAACTATATTATTTACCATAAAAATAAAACATAGTAAATAGGCCAAGGAAAGTAGGGGTAGGCTTTTATTATGAACTTCCCTTTAATTCCACCACTGAACGATGATAAAGTAGATATAGTCTATTGATTTTAAATTTTATAATTTATTACTCAAGTAAAAATATGTGAAAAGATTCTAAGATCAACTAAAATTCCCATTGAAATAAAATTTTTCACCCTACACAATCAATGTCACTTGTAAAATATTCTGAATTATTGGTTAAAGTTGGTTGTCAGTGCACTAYATTATGCTTTCCTCTCATCCACGTACAAAATGGCTGATGTGCATTCAGCAAAACCGGCTTTGATAATAATAGTTGACCTATTCGTGGAAAGTAAGAAATTTCCATGAAAAAAATATTAAATTTTACATTAATTTTGTAGTGATAAAATAGCAATATTACTAATATTTATACTATACCACCGTATAAATATTAAATTTTATCATTACTTCCATAATTATTATTTCTAAAAACAAAATATTTAAATTTATGAAATTTGTACAGTAGATTTTTAATTTTTACACAATTAAAGTAAAAAAGTAATCTATACTAAAAATTTTTATATCTACCTACTATCAAGATAAAAAGGCAATATATTTTATACTAATAACTTGCATAAAAATTGATTTACAAAGTTATTATGTTCCTAACTTTAAAATTAATAATAAGTCAATTCACACTAATATAATACCTAACATCACAAGACTGTTCTACCAAACACAAATATGGTATATCGGAAATGGAGAGAGAAAACAAATAGTATGCTGGACTTACTTATTAAAATTGTTAATTTCAGTCTTGTGGTAAATGCCTTATCCTAATCACCTTTCTCACCTATGCAATAACAATAAATATAAGTATTAAATATAAAAAGTATAATTGACATTTTTTAATTGTTAGTGTTACATAATAAATTAAAAATAAATACTATTCGTTATTCAAGAATCATTAAGTATGTTGGCAAAATCTTTTTTTATTAAGTCTATTTGTTGTAAAATGCTATTGTATTTAGTCTGACATTCGTCAATTAAAATTGTTATCCTCTCAGATACTTGATCAAACCGCTGTTTATTGAACTTTCCTTGATTGAACAATACTTCATTAGTTTCTTCCAAACCAGCAATTTTTACATCAAGTTTACGCAAAGTTTCTTCTAATTCTAGTATTTCCATAGCATCGTTATTAATATAATATTTTCTAAAAAATAACAATAATTACTCATATTTTATCATATTAAATGTGATCAAACTTAATAATAAAAAACTCATAAAACACAAAATAATATACCTTGCTTCTTCTTCTTTTAATGTATTTTTTTTAGCAAACAATTCAGACAGATTTTCTTCTTCAATAATTTGTTCAAAATGCTTGCTCATCAGATTACTGATTTGAGTTTTTAATGTGGACAGCAAATTTGATACATTCCTTTTACTTTTTAAAAATGATATATCACCCATTATGTTTTTAAACTCTTCTGGACTAAAAAAAATAAAAATAAAATGAATATGTTTAATAGTTAGGTACATAAATATTTATAACTTACATATGTAAAATATGAAAATATTATAGAAATTAATTACCCAACACAATCACTAATTTCTTCAAATGTTTTATTGATAGCTTCGAGAAATTTTGTATATCTGGGTGGATCTTTGGACACTATTTCTTTAAACGCTACACTTATATTCATGTGATCTGAAAATGGCTGAATGTTGGAATCTTGTACTTCATTTTGAGGTTTGTCGGTGACCATTGGTTGGTGTATGGCTTGATTATCCATTTTGATACTTGTTAACTAATAATAATACATTAATTACAATAATCTCAGTTTTGTATGCATTAAATGTGTATATTTATAAAAATAATTGTGCTGCATGCATTATAGTTTTGAAAAATAGCATATGGATTTCTAGTCACAGATAAGTAGATAGTTCTGATACCTAGTTGATTGATGTCAAAAGTAGACATTTACAGAATATTTTTGTGCATGCACTTAAATTATCAGGTTTAGGGCTTGGGCTTCAACTAATGGTTGAACATTAATTATGACTGTGTTAACATTCGTATCAAACTTCAAATTGATCAATTTTAGTTAGTTTGAAATTTTTAATCAAGTCAAATATCATGCGCATTATGAGAAATAAATAAAGTTCGAAAGAAATGAGAATCGAATCTATGGGAATTATTTATAGATTTTGAACTCACATCAATATTTCAACAGTACGAACGACTCACAACAGTCACCAGAACTGTAGACAACAGACGTTGTGTCTTACTGTAGTAGTTTGGTTTTTCAACGACTACAATTCTTGATTGAAACTCGTAATTCCGGGATTCGTAACGAAACAAAAAAACATTTATAAGTTATTTGAACAAATAACAGCAACAAGCCAACAACTAAGACAAAAAACTGAAAAAACGTTTGAATTAGAATTTGAATCGTTATCACAAGACACAAACAGAGTCAGACGCATATTATACTATGTTATGTTTTTCACGGAATCAGCATAGATAATAAAGACAAGGATAGGCCAAGCCCACAGACAAATAAAATGTTACCTCTACCAGCTCTACAGCTAGTGATACCACGGTTATCTATACGGTGTAGTAGACCATGTTACTAACMACGGTTTCAGGAGAAATATTCAAAATCGTGATGTCAAGGCCAACAATATTGTTAATTAGTCGTTCAATTAAATAAGGCCAAATTTTAAAATAAATAGAAAACCAGGTTATTGCATCTGATGACTAATATTATGTCGGAACAAATGCACTTTACCAACCCCCTCACGATTTTCAATTTTTTTTTTCAGACGACTTGTTTTTTTATGCTTAAAACGATGGTGTATTTTTTTTTCCGGAAACCATTATTTTGGAAGTTATAGTCTTCCAAAGTTTGCGATTTTACGTTTATTCGCATGCGCGCAACACCAGTACACCACTACTTTACTGCCGCAGTATGGGCAGTGATTACACAGTTTGCGGCACTCGTCGCTCCGCTCCGCAAATCGAAAATATCCCTCGATTTGCTGTGTAAAACCACCTTGGGTAGGCCTCGGAATTAAACAATGTTGTTAAAAAGCAATTATCTTCGCAGGTAGATGACCGACTAATGGTTACCTATTTACCTATATATATTATATTATTTTTGTTATTATATAAGTACCTATATAGCATATTATAATATTAAATATATTTTACATTTTTACAGTATTTATTTATTATTTATTCACCCAAAAAATGACTATGTCCCACAACTTGTTAAAATACTTAAGAAAAAATATTAAAATTTCTTGTAGGCGCAGCGCGTGGCAGTCAAGCGCATAAACGTAAAATCACAAACTTTGGAAGGCTATAACTTCCAAAATAATGGTTTCCGGGAAAAAAAATACACCATCGTTTTAAGCATATAAAAACAAGTCGTCTGAAAAAGAAAAATTTGAAAATCGTGAGGGGGTTGGTAAAGTGCACTTTAGCCATTATGTCTGTATATTTCTGTAAAAGAACATAAAAGTTATCAAAATTAATTGTATAATGTTGAGAATAAGTTAATAAATAAATAAAAATAAAAAAATATCAACAAAAGTCTAAATTGAAGTAGTGTCGTTTGGACACTCCCTTCCATCAAGCCGTCCAGTTTTGTATATTAATCAACCATATTACTTATTGCATTGTTTATACAGATTATATATATTTTCTTTTAATAATAAAAAAAAACTCTAAAACAAATTACCGTAGATACTTGAAATTTTCACTGAATGTTTATATAGGCGTTTTCTATATTTGATAAAATTTTCAAAATATTTAAATTTGTTTTGAGCTGTTTAATGACATTTTAATTTTTCAACTTTTTTGGTTTTTTTTCTATAAATATCGATAACAATTTATTTKTTGGGTATAAAAGCTTGAAAATTTAATACAAGGCTTCTAACACATTGTAACAATAGCAGTTAAAAAATATTAAAAATACATATAGGCACGACTTTTTTTTATAAGCATTTAAAGTTCAAATTTTGACTAAATAAGTAAAAATTACGGCAATGTTCAAATTTTCTTAGATAGAAATTCATAAAAGTTTTTCTTTTTAATTCAAAGATTTGAAAATTTTTAATAATCTATAATATATCCTAGACAGATAAACCCGTTTCCGCTCAGAATCGTTTTTCGTAAACAATGATATAATATCATTGAATTCATATTTAATTCCATCCATTATAGTAACCCACTTATAACCTTCTGTACAGCAGAGCGACATCTACGACTTACCCGCTTTTTTTGAATTTGTACCTATTAATTATCAAAAGTTGATGYGGTTTCACCAATCAATATAAGAATGAACAAAATTAAAATATTATACGGTTTTAGAAAAACATAAACCAAAAAGAGTAAACAAAAATAATTCGAAAAAGTTAACAATTTTTAAATATTTTCTAATTATTGAAGTAATTATGGGGATAGATGACCTCTGATAATATTTTTCGTTAATTTTAATGCACACAAAATAGTACCCATTTGGTTTATAATTTCAAAAATAGATTGCAATCTCTAGCTCTCAGCTGAATTATCATTTTTTTGCTCTTCATGATAGTTTATAAGTATTTTCGTAAATATATATGAATACCTTTACTATAACTGTACTGTCTGTACTGATTAATTGGTAATAAATATTAAATAATAAATAATTCATAGTTATAAATTAAGGCATATAATATTGAAACGCAGCGGGCAATCTGTGTTTTTGATAAGAGGGGGAATAACCAGTGTAGGTAACGTGATTATAAAGACATTTTACGCATCATCTGACCGGTGAGCACTGCGTACAACAACATAACCAACAATCCGTACTCATACGTTCGTTCCTTTTTTCCGAGTGTTCCGTCTTTTATCTGGGAACGGGACTCACACTTTGATTTGGATTTCGGCACTTACCGCTTTCTTACCTTTTGTTTTTCTCCGACGGCTTTTCACTAAAGGTAAGTCTTGTACACTTGTATTCACCCGCATTTGGATAGTTTGATATTAAACGTGTCGTCTTGTCCCTCATAAATGTCGTTGCCCTGATGAGCATGTATGCACCGTAACGGCGTGTGACGTGACATGTGTTGCGAACTTGAATATCTGCGATTGATGTTAATACCACGTTTGTGTTTGTTTGCAGTTAAATATGGCAGAGACTCGCGGTAATTTCCGCGGTGGATTCGGCAGGGGAGGGTCCCGCGGCAGAGGACGTGGACGCGGTCGCGGCCGTGGCAGAGGCAAGGAAGCCGAAAAGGAATGGGTGCCAGTTACCAAGCTTGGCCGTCTGGTAAAAGATGGTAAAATCTCGTCGTTGGAGGAGATCTACTTGTTCTCTTTGCCGATTAAGGTGAGTTCGGTCGTTATCTTCAGTCACACCTTTGACAGATCCAACGTTCTAAGCAGCATGCAGCATTGCGTGCAGGCTGTAACATTTATTAATTGTGTGTGTGTGTGTGTGTGTTAGGAATTCGAAATTATTGACTTTTTCATTGGTTCTTCACTTAATGATGAAGTCTTGAAAATCATGCCTGTCCAGAAACAGACCCGTGCTGGTCAACGTACAAGGTTTAAGGCTTTTGTCGGTATGTATGATTCATAATAATGTTAATAATAATTAATAACAGTGTTACGATAACTGTTTGATTGTACAATAGATTGTATATTTAAGGTATACCTATTTTTTTGTTGAAATTAAGATATTTTTATTAACTTCTTTTAAATTGTTTTATATTTACCTATAAATGTATTCTTAGAATTTAATTTTATCTTAACTCTTAAATATATTTATTTATATAGTTGACGAGTAACTATTAAGTTATATTAATTTAAGTAGTTAAATAACTTTCAATTAGAAAATATCCCGTCATCTGACTCAACAATGTTGATTAATATTAAATAATCGTATATAAAAACAAGAATCTGTCTAATGTCAATAACACTCATGATGTGAATATGTCTTAGCTATTGGTGACTCTAATGGACACATTGGATTGGGTGTTAAATGCTCTAAAGAAGTAGCAACAGCCATTCGAGGTGCTATAATTTTGGCTAAATTATCAGTAGTTCCTGTACGACGGGGCTATTGGGGAAACAAAATTGGAAAACCACACACAGTACCCTGCAAAGTATGATCACTTTAAGTTATTTTTATTTTGTTCAAGAATTTAATGACAGTTGTTAATTTGTTTGCTCTGTTGTTTTTCCCATCCAGGTCACAGGAAAGTGTGGATCAGTCGCTGTGCGTTTGATCCCAGCTCCAAGAGGAACTGGAATCGTCAGTGCCCCTGTTCCAAAAAAACTGTTGACAATGGCTGGAATTGAAGATTGTTACACATCTGCTCGTGGTTCCACCGGTACTCTGGGCAATTTCGGTAAGCGAGAAAGATAAAATATTATCTTTTATACTTATATTTATGCCAACAATTATTTATATTAATTATTTGTTCTGTTATTACAGCTAAGGCTACATATGCTGCCATTGCTAAGACATACGCTTATTTGACACCTGATTTGTGGAAAGATGTACCACTCAAAAAGACCCCATATTCCGAGTTTGCTGACCATCTTTCAAAATGTCACAAAGTTGTCCAGAATATCAGGGCAGATGTTTAATTTTATGTTAAAGGCATGATTGACATTGTTTTGTATCAAATAAAATGATGGAAAACCTATTCAGCTATTATTTATTTCTAGAGAATAGAAAAATTTCAATCTATAATATTCCCTAAAAGTATGTGTTGTTCTAAGTTATACCAATATGAAGAAATTAATTTTTATTCAAGAATTTTTCATTCTGTATCAAATATTTTACAACCATAAGTAGTTATTTTAACACTGAGGTTGATGTCTGTGACATTCTAAAATTTATTTTAATAATAATGCTCATGCAGGTTTTAATTAACATCCAGAGTTTTTGAGTTGTAAGGATTCACCAAACAATTATTAATAATATGTTAATTTGTTCACAGTAGTTTATACTATCAAAGAAATTTTATTTTATTATTTTCGCATTCATGTAGCAGGTGATCTACTATGGTAGTGACCTGTGAATTCGGAATGAGCGATATATGTAAAAATTAAAAACATTTTTAATAGTATAAAACATATTTTTTATTACGCGTAAGTCATTCATAAGAATATTTGTCAAATATAAAACAAAAAATAATACGCCAAGTAAAATAAAAATGTCTACTATAATGGACATTTTTAGTATTATTTAAAAAGTATGTTGAGGAATCACTGATGTCCATTATGCTTCAATCAGATGACGTTGTAAAAGTTCTGATGTAGTTCTTCTTTTTCAAAGTATTTTCATTTTAAGATGTTAATGTTGTCTTCTGGGTGTTGGTTCCTGTAGTTAGTGTGTCAACAAAATTTTCAATATGGTTTTTAGTCAAGTGATTATATATCTGTATAAAAAAGTATAATATAATATTAGGTAACAATAATTGTATATCACCAGCTGCTCTTAATAAAATACGATAGATCACCTGATTCACCTATAAAGAGGTTGTAGAATACTAAGTGATTGCTGTGACTTATTGAAAGCCATAAACGTTAAAATTGAATGTCAACATACATTTTTATTTCACTAAAGCAGAATATTTGAAATTTTGGCCAGGAAGTATATTACTTAATCTATTAGATAGGTTAGTTGTGGGAATAGTTGACTAACATAATATCTTTTAAACTAATAGTTTAAAATTTGATGCATGATGATTGATGCAATTAAAAGTTTTAAAAATATTATTATCTTGGACGGATTTCGAGTGTAACCACTGTTGCCATCGGGCTTAGTCACTACATTCTCAAAAAAAATTAGTTCCCGGCTAAGTAGAAAAAAGAAAAGTTCTCTGCAAAACTTAACTAAAAACATAACATTACACGGTTTTTGGTGATGATAACTAAGTTATAGAATACTTCATCATTGACTAGAAATGCTATTACACATTAACAGGGCCAGATTGGCCTGGCGAGTTGCCCGAGTAAAACTAGAAACTATGTTAAGAGTTTGAAGTAAAAAAATGGAGTCCAAGTATTGGACTTGCATAGACCATAGTTTGGTTGCAGGTGTTATTGATATTAAGTTTATTAGTTGGCTGATATTGTCCAATCCAGCCCTGTATGTTAATGTATTTCTAATCAATGCTATTCAAACTGCATTAAAATATGACCATACCTGCCTGTTGTGCATTCAATTTATCAGGAACTGCTTTTTTGATAGGAGAACTGCATTCTGTAGAATGCAAGTATGAAGAAAATGCAGGTTGGCGGCATTTGTTGCTGTCACATATTAAAATAATCACAGGGTTGTGACATTGATAATTTTAAATAGTATTTTATTTTATTAACACAATGAAAGGGTAACAAGACCACAAGCTACGAGTTCAGGAGTTACCGCACTATGCGGAGCATGCACACATTAGATAATACTACAATAAGAAACTGTAATTACGTATATTATAATGTAAAACATAAATTGCCATGACCGCACATTCCCATCCCGTCAGTTTGGCGTCTATGGTTAGAAGGGATTTTATTGTGTTTTCCTTTAATCATGGAGACAGATACATTCGTTTGTTGATAAATTATCAATCAGTTTTGTCATCTCAAAAACATAATATAGCTTTCTACAAAACTGATCGTAATTTGCATGAATAATGAAAAATTGTAATGAGCAGCTTAATTAAATAAGATACCTATATAATTGTTGAGCAGTACTTAAGCCGAAATTTTAATATAAACATGATAAATTGAATTGCATTTAATATTTTATGAGACATTTTGTATTAAAATCAAGTACATACAATATTCACTACACATTTCCTCATTTCTGTGTATTATTGGTTGTGTAATATTAAAACATACAATTTTTACATTAAAATAGTTCTAAAATTGGTGTTTGTTTAGACATTTCCATTGTGTGTCTCTAGAAAAACAAACAAAAAAAATCATAAGTTTTGAAATTTGATTATTTTTACCATCCCGATAGAAAAAAAAAGTATAATAGTAATAATTAGGTAAAATAAGCTTAATTAATTTTAAAAAATAATTATAAAACAATGATAATAATTGTCTACAAAAATAATAAGGAGAACAATAATGGTAGTCGGTCTTAATAATTAAACGTTATGTTGAAAATCAAAACTAAGGAAAAATTCTTTTTTCCAACAAAATTAAAACTTACTCTAGCATTCAAATCACATAAAAATGATACTAATTAATTCTGAGCTAGCCATGCATCAAAATATATAAAACAGATACTTAACAAAAAAAAAAAAAAGATACTAATAATTAAACAAGTTACAATTACACAAAAATAACCAAATGCATGAAAAAAATTAAACATTGATAAAAACTAAGTCTAGGCACCCAACTGGTTGTGTTACCTCAGTAAGCATTTGATTTTAATTTAGTATTTTGTTGTATACCATAACCATACACATCAACTCAATTGATATTTGATCTTCAAGTCAGTTAATCGATAACAAAATATCTGAAACATATTTATAAAAATTTGTGATAATTTAGGAAACCAATTATCATTATTATTATTGAATATTTGATTCTCAATGATTATAATGTTTAACTAAATTATGAGTAATTATCATTGATTTCAAATCGAATAAACTAGTTTCTTTGTTATTGTTAAACATTAATAAAATATTTTAAAATATGAACACATGAACACAAAAATTATGAATTAATATTTCAATACAGAATTTTGATTTTCCACCACCTACTCAGGCTATAATCATGACATGCCAAATTACAATATTAATTAATTCAATAGTTCAAATTTAATGGCAATTCACAATAATAATATATGATACTACCTGTGTGAAAAATAAATTTCAATTAGACAGAGATTATTTATGTTCTAGCAAAACTGTTGGTTTCTTCAGTTTATCACATTCATCGCATGTGAATAAGACACAATTAAATGTATAATTCTAAAAGATTTCTTAAAATAACCAAATAAACTTTACATACCTATGAGAATATTTTTATATATTATGTTTAACTAAAGTAATTTTAAATTTAATATAATCCATAATATTAGTTTAACAAATGTTATAATGTTAATAAGCTCAACAGTGTTTAACAACAATTTAGATTTCAACATTGAAAGCTAATTGTGTTAATTTACGAATAGGGGTAGTACAAATCTAATGAGCATCAAGATCAGAAAAAAAATATAATAATTTACAAAATAAATTTCAATAGTATAATTATCTAACATAATATTATTATTATTAATCCATTATTTCTAATAATCACGATTATAAATAATAAAAAAAAAAAATAAAAAAAAAATACTAGACAAAAAAAAATTCGATTCAAATATTTAAATGTAAGCAGCAAATAAACAACTAAAGTACGATATATTTTAATTTAATTTATATCATATTATTATAGACCTAAATAATATAAATGAAAAAAAATATATATAAACAAATTCCACAAATTGATTATCTAAGTTTAACAATTAATAATTTTAAATTGAGGAAAAATAAGTGAAACACATTTACCCTGATTTATGATATAAACTATTTCTAATAATTAAAATAGTTACATTACAAATATTATATTTTTATTTATAATAAAATATATATACGTAAAAAAATATATTTAGTCCCAGAAAAAAGCATATTAGGAAAAAGTGGCTTCAACGCAAGCAAGTAACGGGATAGGTAGTAGAAAAAAGCAGTTAGTTCTACTATATTTCGTCAGTGTCCTCCATTATGAATATAGGGCAGTTGGACGTTGAGTGTCCCATATTGTCACAATAAGAGCAAAAGAACTCATAACTGAAGACCGGAAAAAAAAACATACGAATAAAGGTATTAAATAAAATGTAAAGGAAAAAACTACATATTTCAGTTTGTTTAAGCAATATAAATTATTATCTACTAATCACTACAATCAAATCGGCGCATCCGAGTTGGGTCTCAGATTTTCAAAGTTACTATACTAGTTGGGTCCCAGATTTTTATAGGTATTCCACTAGTTCCTGAATATTTTTTGGTAAGTACTACACTATACTAAGATTTTCATTCCCATTTTAACACTGTCTATGATCTATTTAGACCACAGGTATGGTTAAAAAAGTATATTTTTAATTTAAGAAAATATAATTTAAATAAAACAACAGATTTTTTGTATATTTTATTATGATTTTTAATGAATATTAGAAGAATATTTTCAACTTTTTAAGAGAATATTAGCATCTTATTTTGGTTATTTTAAAAGAATATCATTCTAGCCTCTAATTATATTTGTATATTCATTTTTTAGGTTTAATATTATTAGATACATGCATTAGATATAGACATCAGTAAGTATATTAAGATATCCAAAATTTTTTTTTTTCAATTTATAAATTAAGATTTCATGGTTATTTTGTTTAATCTGGAAAGCCTAGAGCCTCAATTAGTCCAGATTAATGAGGTTCTACTGTAATTAGAAAAAATGATTTTTATATAAATAACATATTCAACCACTAATAATACATATCTTATCAGATTTTTAGTTAATTAAATTCAAAATTTTTTTAAATTTGTACTTGAAAATTAACAGCAAGTTATAAACCATAACAGTATCCCCTTAAAAATTATCAACTATTTTAAGACTATCATATAGTCTAAAATTGGCGAAGAGACAGCTTCTAATATTGTTTAAAAAATAGTAACTTAGACAGGAATTTTCATTGGGAGTGGCAGGAGGTGGAATACATTCATTATTTCTTATAAAAATCACTGGGTAATGATATTATATAAATTATAAAAGGCTATGTGAGGATCAATTTCCCATAACCCTACCCCACACAATGTGTATAAAAAACATATTCAAACTCATGGTTTGATTAAGAATAAATAACAATTTAATAGACGGTTATATCTTAAAGCTTAAGAGAATGACATACCTGCATTTTGTCTCAATCTTACAAAAGTAAACGCAGCAAGCTTAACTTGCATAATTAGTTTTAATAATATTGTGAATTGACCTATCATCAAACTATCAGGAAAGGACAAAAATTAAAAATATGTTTGATAATAGGTAATTTAATTAATTTCCTTTTAACTAAATAAGTCATAATCATGGAAGTTCAATTATGTTGATATGGTCCATTAGTTAGTTTTTATGTTATACAGTGCCACTTAAACAAAATTAAGTGCTGGGTGAAAAAATGGAAAATTATCTTAAACCCCTCAAAAAGTACAGCAGTATTATTTACACTTCGTCGCCCCAATACCCCTCCCTCTCTAGCACTTAATGGCGATTACATATCCTGGTCTCCAACTATAAAATATCTAGGTGTTATCATAGATAAAAAATTAACTTGGAACCCACACATTTCTTCAAAACTCCAACAAGGCTACCAACGACTCAAAATTCTTTACCCCTTAATCAACCGTCAAACCGCCTTAAAGCTGGAAATGCTCCATGCTTCTTTATAAGCAAATTCTAAGACCATTAATACTCTATGCTGCTCCCATCTGGGGCAACTGTGCCAAAACTCACATAAATAAAATTCAAGTCTTCCAGTCCAAGATTCTACGCATAATATCCAACGCGCCRTGGTTYGTCAGAAACGAAGCACTTCATACAGACTTCAGACTCCCGATGGTTAAATCCTACATACAGTATCTCTCAATAATTTTTTTTTAGCCAATTAAACAACGCCAAAAGTGCAAAATATTTCAAACTCAGCGATAAGCCTACCCTCCGSCGTCTCAAGCGCGGASGTCCTCATGATGCCTTTTCTCAACACCAATAAGATTAACAAAAAAAAAAAAAATACACTTAGATTAACTAATTATTATGATGTCATATTTTATTATTTATTTATTCATCTTTGTAATTTACTGTAATTTATTGTATATATTGTAATTAATTTACGCGTAACAACTTAATAATGTTAAAAATTCTTTATTGTATCAATAAGTTCGATGACCTTGTATGTCAGAAATACTTCAATTTAATAAAAAAAAAAAGTTTTTATGTAATCAAACACATTTTGAAAATTTAAAATTTAAAGTTAATTTGAAAAAATGATTATAAATTTTATAAGTCATCATAAGTTTATCAGGTTAATAAAGTTATTGATTAATTGGATATCCGATTAAAACTTATAATTGATAATCGGCTGTGTCAAATAATAACCACGCAGTCCTAAGTATATTATGTATCCTGTAATGATTTAGATGATATTTATTTAATTTAAGATTATCTTGTTGGTAAATCATTTAATTTAATATCATATTATATGATTAAAATGTAATATTATTAGTAATGTTTATATTTACCATCATGAGGACATTACACCCACATGTAGTATCTATTTTAATTTTATAAATTATATTATCCAAATAATAAAAGCACTGCAACACAGATAGAGCTTTTTTCTATGAATTTTGGAATTTTGGTTATTTTCTTTTAAAAACAGAGGGAGAATATTTTTCCATACAAGACAGTTGATTTTGTTATGTTCTTCATTAATTGTAAGACGGAGACAAAATATTCATGCCTTTTAAGGTTAATAAATCTTAAAAAGAATAAGAACTTTTATTGATATTTAATAAATACAGTATTGTAGTTCAATGGTTTTATAATGATAATGGTAACTATCATAATATTAATATGAAAAACAAATAATGATCTAATATTCCACCACCTGGTAATTTTACTCTACTGTACAAAAAAAAATTAAACAGCATGTATTGTGAGATTTTGCAATATATTTAACATAGGAAAACGATAAAAACTACTCTATACTTTTAAAAGTAATTTTGCAGACTAGATAATTTTTGCTTTTATATTTGTATAAGCAAATCAATTTCAAGGTAAAAAAAAGTTTATAAAGTTAAACATTGAAAATCTATAAATATAATAAAATTCACTTCTTATTTAATGTTGGAGTAATTGAGTATTATCAAACAGCATATACAAATTAGCCAACAATTATTATTCCAATACATAATTTTATAGAACTAAATTACTACTATTATCTTACTATATTAAATAATGTCATTATTAGGGATCAGATTTCAATGGATTTGAAACTTTTTCTGCAATGATGGATAAGATACGGTTTCCGAACTAACACGATGTTCTAAATGCTGAGAACATTATGAGTATATTTTGATTTTTCTAGGAATATGAAATAATGAAAAACTTCATTCAGTTTTAAATATTAAAAAACATTTTTTTCAACATCTCCAGGTCATTTTATCTTTTCTAATTATATTATCATTATAATCTGCCTTGGCAACAAGGTAAGTCTTGATAATCTTAATAATTATTAAATTACCGTAAACTTTTATTGTTGTCAACATTGATAATTGTTGACACTTTTAAGACATTAATTAAATCCAGTCTCTAATCATTACAATAAAAAAGGAAGAAGTATTGAGTGCAATTCTAAGTTATTACCATTATTAATGGATAAATGTCCCAAAAAAACATAATATATACATTATATAATATGTAAATAATTAGACTAAACATATGATCTAATATAAAATGTGCTAATTGTAATACAATTTACAAAGTAAAGATCTTATCCAACTTGAACACATTTCAAAGTTATGTATCAACACCTTTTAAACGAGTAGTATCTGTAAATCTTAACAACTAAGATTATAATAATACTATTAAAGTTTTTTCTAGGTTAATAATATTATTTGTTGGTACGAAAAGAGCAAAATTAAACATTGGCAAAGTTTTTTCTAGGTTAATATATATATGAATTCTCAATGATCTTTTAATTAATTTGTATACCAAGATATATCAAAAATACTATTTATTTAGAAATTGAGCACAACCAACTTTAATCTAATTATTTAAAATAATAAATTATAATACCTGTCTAAGGTGCTATCAGACAATTCATCTTCCCATTCGTCTCTATCATCTCTATTTCTACCAATTACATCGCCTAAGCGTATTGGATCAAATAATGCTTCTTCCAGAGCAATATTCCATTCAGCACCATCTCGATCACGTTCACCCCATAATACACCCAATGTTTGACGCATGGTCTGATTTCTATGATGTCTTCTTCTTGCATTGTTTCTTCGACTTCTACTATTAACCTCCACTGTTAATACTTAGTATTATTATGTTATAGCACAACCAATATTACTTATTTAATATACTTTAAATAACATGAATATTACCTCTGTTATTATGGCGTTCAACTTTTAAAGTTTCTCGCCTAGTTTTTGTTTCATCTGGTAAACAGTCAGATATTTTATCTAAATATGTATCTAAAGTTAAACAGTATGATTTAGTTTTAACATAAACTCGACATGTTGGGCAGTGATTAACTCTTCGGGTCCATGATTCTATACAATCATGACAAAATGTATGAGAACAATTTAACACAGTAGGCTGAAAAAAAAAATGTAATTTGCTATTAATAAAAAATATTTAGAGGAAATTGGATTATTCAGAATGGACATTTGTTATTTGCTATTAGGTAAGAATGTAGATTAAATAACACTACAGATAGCAAACACTATTGCAATAATTTATCGCTCATTAATATAACTTTGATTTCATTAACTATTGGTAAATATTTAGAAGTAGATATGGAAAATGAGGATCTAATAGTCTCCTGTCATCATGTGCCACTAGCGTGTCAAATCCTAATTACAATAATGGGCAATAAATAATTACATTGGCATCTTCAGTAGGATGTGGAGCCAACCAATGCAGATAACATTATGATAATCCAGGGACATCATTTGAGAGGGGGGCTAGAAAATGCATACACTGAACCTAGATTTTAACAAGAAGTACTAGAGCCATTACAGGCTGTGATGCAACATACAAATCATTAATTAGAACTGATCCATCAGTAATCTAAGATAAGAAGAGTACAATATTGTACATAGTATGTATACTGTTCATTATTACTGAAGTATTAAGATTTAAAAATACAAGTTATGTACACCATACAGAAATTGATCTCTTGGAACGTCTTTAAACAATATAATAATTTATTATGTTTAATTTCAAGTAGGTATATCTCGTCAAATTGTATTTGACTATTTTATAAAGAAACTTTTGTCATGCTATACACACTTTATAACTTTATTTTTTAGAATCATTAATTAATTTATACAAGAAGTATAGAATTACCAAAAGTGGATACAGTTTGCTTGATAAAAATTGTATAAGAGTATTTAACTGTAGTTGAGGAACCTAGCGGGCGACTTTTTATTAATATGTACTTGAAAGTTATATACTTAATGAGCGATTATAATTATTATTTATTTCCTGTACTGGCAAATATTCATTGCAGACCTCATGTAATAAATAATACTAAAGAAATTAATAAAAAAGTAATTTAAATGTATTAATTGAAAAATATTCATATATATAACTTTAATAGGTAATTACTGTTAATTTTAATATTACCTTTATGAACACTTCGTAACATATGTTACATTGTAGATCACTTTCAAGACATTTTTCCATTTGATGCTCCATCCAAGAGAAATTGTCTCCCTCGTTCTTAACACGCAGTTGTTGACGAAGTGATACAACCAAATTTTCAGCTTCATTTAATTTTTTTACAGTCTCTATTAACATACTATCCGGTGTGCCTACTCTGGCTTCACCAGTATTATTATCTGAAAATGTTTATTAAAAATTATTTGATGAAAATGTTTTAATAAGAAAACAAATRGTATGATTACTTGTTAAACTCCATTTATCTTGAGGGGCAGCTGCATTAGTTTCTGATGACCTAAAATTAATATGATTTATTAATAAATCAAAGGTTAGAATAAAAAATATATGTCATACTTATTTGCTAAATTGGGAAGAACTTGATTTTTTTGTTTAGCACTACTACTTGGTGAATTTGTCATCGGAGTAGTTTCTCTACTTGTTGTAACTACAAAGCTGCTTTGATCATCAGAGCTATCCTCTGCAAAAATAAATATAATACATACAGAGCTACAGAACAACTAATTGGAAATATTTTGTCTAAATTGATGTACAATATGCCAGTACATTCAATCAAATTATAATAATTTTTTATAAACGTCAAGAATGAATTTTATAGGAATAAGGAATTAGGAAGTAATTATTATTATTGTATTCCACTATCTAACATGGTATATCCAATGTTGAGTTCCTAGTATTATCAGTAAGTAATACCAGTTATAGTATCGGCATGGTACATGTTAAGACAATATTTAACCCACGGAAGAAATAAAGTTAAACCTTGTTAGATGTTTAATATTTTAAGATCAATTTTCACTAGAAACACGTATAATTATATTCAGATACAGTATGTGTTAAGCTAATATTCAGTAGGTACAATTTATAGTTTAGCTAACACACACAATGTTAAGTTTAATGTAAACAGATTTCAAACAGTACAAGATTTTAGATGAGTTATATCATATCTAAATAAAATTGCGAGTAAAATTAGTTGATTTAATTATTTGTTATTTTCTCCATTAGGTACCTACCTACCTTTACTATATAGAGGGGGATTTTAATGAGTTTAATTTGGAATTGATTTTTTGGTCAATTGATTTCTAGATTCAATATTATTATACTTTGAAAAAGTGTGCAGTTGAATACTTTCTATGGAACCGGAAAGGAGATAATGTAGAGTGATGGACTGGAAGGCTTAGGGGATACAAATTAGAGATGGCAGTAAACCAAATTTGAATTGAATGGACCAGAGTTATAATTTTTCTATGCATTTCCAGTTACAATTCAAAGATGGAGACTTAATATCAATCGTTTGTAATGTAAAACAACACTTCTATATTGAATCAATATTTGTGCTCATTATAATTTTCAAGAAAAAAATTTAAGCCAGATAAGTATAATTGACGGCGATACCTCTTACTACCCCTGAGCACACTGTCAAAAAGCTGACGAAAATTTTAAAAGCCATTGTCGATGGTCAAAACATTTTGTGGCGGACAAGGTACATGAACACGCACAACAGGTACTACACACATTGTGTTGTTAATGGAGCACCGGTAAAGCACGCGCGCGACAGATTACTTACCAAGAACAATATACGGGCTATCTGAGCGGGTGGATCCTATATCGTGCGAGTTCCAACAACGGTTGCCGAATCGACACGATCCTCTCAAGTAGTACGAACACACCGCAGACATGGTGGACGTGTTATTATCGTCGTACGCTCCTGTTGTTGTTGGTCTTATCCGCGAGTCCGCGTAACGTTGCTGTTAAATGTTGCGGTGTAGTCTACAAAGTCCAACAACTGTACCGCGTGACTGGCCGGTTGCTGCTGAAACGAAAGAGAGAGCCGTCAGAAATCATAATTGGGAAACATGCGTCCGAAAAAAAAACTCGACCGCGGTTGTGTCGAAGAGAGGGGGGTGTTGTCAGGCGGACGGAGACTACTAATTAGTACTTACACTTGACTCCTGAGGTCGTGTTTACGAAGAAAATGAGTGAATCGAGAAGTCGACAAGACCAGGAAAAACGAACGGCCGTTTATTTCAAAAATAGACAGGCAGATGATAATCTATATAAAAGAAGAGACTTACAGGCTACTGCCGCTGGCGACCGTCCACTGAACAGTGAACGAGTGAACAGTGAACGAACTGTCGAACTGCACAAAGTAACGAACAAGAACAAGCGAACAGCGATGGCCATTGGCCGGTAACCGGTGGCGCGGCGACGGCGGGGTCTTAGTTGCGCGCCAGACGAGTAAGTCAGTTGTACGTCGTGGCTTATGCGTTAATGCGCAGTTACAGTTTGAGGTGGGTGGCGGGGGCTCGGAAGACCGGTTGTCGGAATGTTGGTCAGCTGCAGCTATAATCCGTCTCGCGTTGCGAGTGTGACCACCACAAAAAAATTAAACACGGACATTGCGTTAGTTTATCTTGGCAACAACTTTACTGCGGTCGTGAACGTCTTGTGAATCAGCTCGATCGAGATAACCACACTGCATCCGTGGCGTTATCTCTGTTTGTCGCGTTGATGCGTTATCTCGGATATCAGAACTCGCGCGCTCGTTAATCGTGATAAAAATAACAACTATAAAGTAAATAATACTAAATATTATTTAGTAAATAGCACGGACTAAGGTATATCTTAGTCCGTGGTAAATAGTAATGAAATAACAACACGACTGCCGAAGTGCTATTGCCTATTACAAATACAACAGTCGAGGACTCGGAAACTCGGACAGTTCAGCCACGATGAAACATTGATGAGTCACACTGTTGAAACGTCAAGCTGCTTTTGCTGCAACCGTCGGTAGCCGTTGTCCACTGGTCAGACATGGAAATACCGGACATTGCAAACGATTATTCGGCACCTCAGACGGTCAACCACAGTGATCCCGTCGACAGCAACCAGTTGGTGGATGATGACGAAGAGGAGAATGACAGTTGTTCGCCAACCATAGACAATCCGAACTTACTCGAAGAATACCAACTGAAAACCACCATTGAAGACCAACTGAAAATAATCAACAAAGACCAAAAGGAAATACCCGTCGAATACCAACTTAAAGAACTCAGTGATGTCGTCCGACAGCAACAGGACGAGCTCGATTACTATCAGCGGCAGTTAGCCATCAATGAGCACAAGTACCTGACAGATGTCAGTGATTTGCAATCGCAGTTACAGTCTTCAAAGAAAATGTATGACACAGCCAAGCACGAGAAAGAAGCAGCTTTCATGCGCTATGTGCTCAAAGAAAAAGAAATTCTAGATCTGACCAACGAAAAAAAAAAACTAATGGACAGTCTGAAGGATAGGGACAAGCAGATTACACGGTTGAAAGCCAACTCCAAAGATGTGGCAAGTTGTACTGGCGTCATAGAAGCAAAAAACAGAGAGATCAAGGAATATAAGACTATAATTGACTTGCTTAAAGATGAGAAGTCAAAGATTTCAAAAGACTTAGAAATCTGGAAGACCAAGTATGAACATGAGTCAAAGTGTTCGCACGAAACAGAAAGTAAATTATTGCATGAAATTCAAGAATTGCAGAATAGATTAGAATCGTTGACCAAACAAAATGAATCTTTTAATCAAGAAAGTAATTTAGAAAAGATTATACTGAGCAGTAAATTGTATTTGGATTTAAAAGAATGTTCAGAGCATCAACTTCAAGAGATGAATAAATTAAAAAGTGTTAACGAAGAGTTGAACCTTAAGCTAACCAAATGCACTTGTACTGTTAACTCTTTGGAAGATGAAAATATCGACCTTAAAACTTATATGGAAAGTTGTGAAATCAAAACTAATGAATTGCTTGTGTTTACTGAAAGTTTGAGTTCACGCAATGCATTACTGCAGTCGGAATGCCTAAATTTACAAACAGATTTGGACAGATTGAAAAGCAACTGTGATATATTAAAACAAAAAAATAATGATCTCAAGATTGCTTTCAGAGCACAAGAGGATAGCATAGCAAAAGAAAAAGAGCTTTATGACCGCGACAAAAAAGAACTAGCCAGTCATTTGGCGCATAAAATGCAAATGATTGCAGACCTAAAGACCACATTGGAGCGCACTCAAGATGATTTGCACGTTTCTAAAAGGAAGTTCAAAACTACCGTGGCCGAGTTGACCAAAGAGTTACAGAAAAAAAATATTGTTGATACTTCTGTAGAAATGAAGATGGTCTTAGACAAGATGGTCAAACTGCAGCAAGAAAATGCCAGAATATGCGAAAAGCTAGATTTCGTTGAAGATCATAATAAGCATTTACTGTGCGAACTAAAGAAAAACAGTAGTATTATGCAAAAACATAAAATACCTGGCATTAAAAATGTCTCTAGTTTGAGTGAACAGAAACCAGAACGTTACTGACAAACTGACAATATGTGGACCATCAACAGTCAACCTAAAAAATTATCATTGTATTAATATTTATAAGTACTCATTATTGTTTTTTTTTTTAACTTGGATACAATCTAAGTATTTGATCTAGTCCTATTATATTATTATTGATTTTCATCTTTTTGAACATTGTTATTCTTTATAATAAAAAAAAAATGTAATTTAAAATCACGGCTTGGTTCTTATACTCTGTGGCATATTTTGGGTGACTTCTCGAGAGCTGTCCAACATTTAATGAATATACAATACAAGGTTTAACAGATAGAACTGACTTTTGGAATAACTTTTATTCAAATTAATATTATTTATTTTTAGTTTTTCATGAAGTGTCCTTAGCGTTACATGGATAGTAATTTTTTCTGTTTATTTTTTAGTACTGAAAATAAAAAAAATTTAAATTTAATAAAATTGTTTTTGGATAAATTCAARATAGCCTATTTTTGAATCTTTATTAAAGAATAATTTTAATGGTAAAAATACTTATCTAAGTTTACTTTTTAGAATTTTTTTTTGGTTAAATTAAATTGGAAGTAATAACTTAAAAATATGACTTGAGAATTTGCTGACATGAGTATATTTCTTAAATTATTTACTTATCATATAATATTAAAAAATTTTGCCCTAAGTTTAATTAGCATAATTTTTTTTGTTGTCAAGTTTTTTGTTACACTCTGTATGCATAATATTATACTAAAATAAATTATTATACCAATATTTACAATATTTAGGCTTTTTTTTTTGTTACGCACTTGTAAGACAGAGATAAAACATGTGGGTATTACATCCTCTAAAGGCAAAAACCAACTAAACGCGCTATATCCATAATTTATTAAGTGTTAAAACAGATACATACCAGACAAAAAAATTACATAATATAAATTGAGGATTTGAGGAAAATGATCTCCAAAATTAGATGGAAATATTTATGAGATAGGTATTTTAGGTTAAGTCTTATGGCAGAAGAGTATAATGCACAATAGATGATTAAGAAACTAGTCAAATGTGTAGGGGGGGGAAGCTTTTTACCATAAGCTTGCTTGACTAATAAAGGTCAAAGCAAGCAGGACTTAACTAAAAAATAAGAACTTAATATTTATAGGTATTCAAATACCAACAAGTCTTTGTTGTAGCACTTAGTATTGATATGGGCAAGTTGTTTTTGACTTTTTGAGAATTTATAATTAACTGTTAGCTGGAATTAATTTAAACACATTAAGGTAATAATCAAAATTAACAAATGTGTTGAAGAGTTATATCAGTAAAAATGCAAAATAAAATCCAATCAATAAAAAGTAGTTAATATTCAGGGCGGTGCAATAATAAAATCAATTTAATTTCAAATACAACACTTGGATACTCACAATATATATACTTGACAGATTATACTATGTATTCCTACTGAATGCAATAAAATTGTATGTATAACATATGACTAAGGAAGATATTTTTGATGTAACTATAACATTCTCATTCAAAGAATAGTTTATTTTCATTAGACTTCAAAAATATCAAAATCAATTAAATAGTATAACTTATATGTTTGTGTGTTTCAGCATGGTAACTGAAAGTGTGTTGATTAACAATGTGTTTTAATCACTAAAAGTATAATAAAAGAAAAAGAAAAAATATAATATACATCAATAAATATTTAAATCAWAAATATTAAAGACGAGAGTTTATAATAACATTACAATCATATTAATAATTTTAAATTCAATTGAATATCAAATTAAAAATTAGACACAAGACACAACACAGTTTAATGGGTTTTAAGACTGGAAAATGAAACTTGTAAATAAATAAAGAATATTTAACATAATGTAGTTCAATTCCATAATGACAAATACGTTAATAAGAATTTGACCACCAATTGAGATTTATAAATTCAAGTGTTAAAACAAGAAAGATTTATTTTTTGCCTAAATGAAAACTAATAATTATTACTTTTATATTACGGTAATGGATCAAAATATTATATAAGAATACAAACTGAAAATTGTTGTTTTAGATTCAATTGATACCCAATTTATGAATAAATGCTATTGTTAAGTGGAAATAGTTAATTCCAAATAAAAAATAGTAAATATAATAAAACTTTTAATATTACGATCTGAGTTAATATCTATTATAGAATACTTTTATTAAACATTTTTTATAAATATAAAATAATATTATGTTTTTAATGGATTCTTAAGTATACATTAAATATAGACTTAATTTAAAAAAAAAGAAATGTTCGAACATTGGTGCCTTATTATTATAAAGTAATGCACTAAGATTTCATTGACTTATGAATTTAGTGTTTTTAAGTAGAAAAAGAGCGAACAGAATAAAATAAACATTTCTGTGTATACAAAATATTTATATGAAATAATTATAATTATCGAGATGCATTATTTGTAAGATCCACAACAGCGATAACCGTTGGTATCCCAGGGAATCTAGAGTTATTTCTGATTGGGATGTCATCAATTATAGGATATGCAGGTGGTGGTGGTTCTCTTCTACTACGATTTGTTTGATTTCCTCCTCTTCTTCTACCTCTTTTAGCCACTTGAGGTTGAAGCCCATTTCCTATCAAATAAAATATTACATTGAATAATACATGATAACAGCATCTATCAATATATATCTAACTTTTTCACTACTCCAGACATACTATTACAAAACCTCTATTTTATAATTTTATCACTTTTAAAAAATCGTACAATTTTAGAGAACCCTAGCTCGTATTATTTTTAAGTTAAATAATTGTATCATATACAATATACATCTCAAAATATTAATTTAAAAAAATAAAAACATTTTATTTTATGTAGCGAACACAGGTTGCAGGGCATAGATAGTGTACCTAGCAGTGAATAGGTTAACTAAATTGTCATTAAGATAAAATAGATATAATTCACTTAAAAGTCCTCACTTTCATTTTGTAGAGTAAGACGTTGTTCCTTTATAGTTCCACCCATAAGGTCACATATGTTTGTGATGTAATTATCCAAGGCAAGACAGTAAGTTGTAGAATGCACATTACTTCGGCAGGTAGGACAATAGTTGCTCCTAGCTAACCATGTTTTGAGACAGCTATCACAGAAAGTGTGATTACAATTAGCTGTGCTTGGCTTTATAAAACAAATAAAATAAAAAATATTAATGATAATAATAACTGTACAGTAAATCAAAAATTAGTTTGTACCCGTAAGATCACTTCATTACAAATAGCACATTGAAAATCATTTTCCAAGAGTTTATTGATTTGGGTTTTAAATGTTTCCACAGATTCTTCTTCCTTTGCAATTTTAGTATCCAACAATTCTGCTCAAACAGATCAAATACTTAGTAAAATGTTAAGTGTTCAAAAAAATTTCACAATATTACCTTTCTGCAACGTACATCTTCTACGTAAAACATTCACCTCATTATTTGACTTTCGATAGTTTTCATGATACTGAAATTTTTTTATTTATTTAGTATTTACCTATTTACATTTATTAAGAGGACGCTATACATCCATTTGTTGTATCCGTATTAAAATTGCATAACATAACAAATTTATGCTCAGAAAATCTATAGGTTTAAAAATTAGAGCAAATCAACCTTTTGATATTAAGAGGATGCACACTATTTGTTTTCTCTCTCTGGCCCATACTCAACGTAGTCAAAACGCATTTACACAGTATCATTTTTTCTGTGTTTTCATGTAATCTTATAGTAAAATCACCTATTACAAAAAAGATAGAGAATAATGTTTTTGAGGGAACGAAATATCAATATTATATTTTATAGTTATTTGATTTTGTATCAGACTTTTAAAATAAACAAAAAAATGTTATAAATTGTTTTAAGACAATATTTAGACAAATCGATACATCATCCCTTCAAAAATATTATTCTCTAGCTTTTTTTTAATGGGTAAATTTACCCTATGATTACTAAAAAACATAGAAAAAACAATTTTGCATAAATACGTTACATCTATGTTAAGCACGGGTCAGGGAGAGAAAACAAATAGTGTGCTGACATTCTCTTAAGAGGACGCTACACCCGCATGTGTTGTCTTCGTCGTACAAGTGCATAGCATAGCAAATTTTACGCTCAGCAGATCACGTTTATCTCCGTTAATTTAAAATTTAGAGTGAATTGACCTATTATAAAAATTAAAGGCAAGATTATTACCGAGGGCATCTCTTAGGCTTTTTATTATATTTTAATTTTAAAGCGAGTTATAAGTATTTTAAAATTGCAAATTATTTTTATATCTAAAAATACTCATAACTCGCTTTAAAATTAAAATATAATAAAAAGCCTAAGAGATGCCCTCGGTAATAATCTTGCCTTTAATTTTTATAATAGGTCAATTTACTCTAAATTTTAAATTAACGGAGATAAACGTGATCTGCTGAGCGTAAAATTTGCTATGCTATGCACTTGTACGAMGGAGACAACACATGCGGGTGTGGCGTCCTCTTAAGAACATTATCTGTGTCTGAACTCTGAAGTGTTTTTTTTTATGATAGTTCAATTTTTTAGCAAGTTAGGCATATATAAAAAAGCATAAATTAAAAATGCTCATAACTGACTTAGAAACTAAGTTATCGTAAAAAACCCACATACAAACACAGAATGTGCTTGCCATTAAATTTCATAATAGATCAATTTACTCTATTTTTTTAACTTATGAATTTAAACATCATCTGCTAATTGTAAATTTGTTATGTTATGCACTTGTAAAATGAAGATAACAAATAGAATACCAAAATGTATGTCTAGTTGTTCTAATTTTGAGCCGTCTTCTTAAATATTAAAGTGAATATTCAATATATTTGTGTTTTTTTAAATATATATATATATTACATACTCAACCAGAACACTAATAACTATCACATAGTATAAAGGACAAATATATGCAATTGAATATGCTCTATCTAATCCACACTCTATTGATAACTTACTTAAAATTCTTAAAAATTCAACAAGAAAACGCTTTTATGTTTAGATCTGATAATAGGTAAATTTACTCCAATATTCAAGTTAGTCCACAAATGAAACTGAAGAATGTATATTTTGATATGTTATGTGTAAGCAAGACAAAAACAACACACACGTTTAGAACATCCTCTAAAGTGTATATTATAATTTATACATACCTTAGTCATTTCTTTATTCATCTTGATATTTAATTCTGTAGAATCATCCACCATTTTTTTAAATTCATCCATTTGAGTTTTGGTGTCCTTGAGGATATTTATTTTTTCAGCTTTTAACTGTAATTAAATAAATAAAAAGTGTTTATATATTAAAATACTATTACTTTTGAAAAAGTTTAAATAATACTGCAAATAAGTTTGTTACATACAAATTGTGTCGGCAAAGTATACAGGGTGATTTTTTTTTATCAAAGAACACTCATTATTTAAAAAAGTATTGACTTTTTTCAAAATATTTGTTTATATGGTTTCAAGATGTTAAAAAACCAACGTTTTTATTAAAAAATYATATTTTTAAATATTTTTTATCCTTATCATTTTTTAAGTTTTTTACTTTTTAGAATGACATCATAGAGTTTTATTGTATATTCCAAAGTAAAATATTTTTCTAAGTATTTTGATTCATAAAAATCGAATTTAGGACGAGTAGCTTATGAGTTATAAGTATTTAAAGTTAAAATTGACAGAGTGGAGTGGTACGGGGTTACCCCACAAAATGTTTGTCCACTACTCCGCTTGTCTTTTAAATACTTATAACTCATAAACTACTCGTCCTAAATTCGATTTTTATGAATCAAAATACTTAGAAAAATATTCTCTTTTGGAATATGAAATTAAAACTCTATGTTGTTATTCAAAAATTTAAAAACTTAAAAAATGATAAGGTTAAAAAATATTTAAAAATATAATTTTTTAATAAAAAACGTTGGTTTTTTAACAACTTGAAACCATGTAAAAAATTTTTTTGAAAAAGTCAATACTTTTTTAAATAATGAGTGTTCTTTGTTTAAAAAAATCACCCTGTATATATACTGCGTAAAAGCTGTCATAAATTGAAGTTATTCAACTTTAATTGGATACAATTCATAAATGGTTATTATTAGAAGTGCAATGAATATGATTAATTTAATGAATTAAAAATTCAATACTTTGGTCAGAATACACTTTTAAGTATAACTTGGTTACAATTTAAGTTTATTTGAATGTGAGGATAGAGATGTATCTTATTTAAATCAATAATACTTACTTCTTGTACTTGCTTTTGAAGTTCTTCAATCTTAATTTTCAATTTTTCATTATATGCAACTACATTTTCTTCTTCTAGTCTAAAAGTAAAAACATACAGTTAGTATATTCATAACATGTTTTTGCATCTGTTGGAAAAATTCTTTTTTGTAAAGTATGTGAGATTAAAGTCAACAAATGCTAATCATAAAAATCTTAACAACTTTTGCCCAATACATCAGACAAATCAATGTTTGCTAACAATTTGTGCAACATATTGCCGCTAACAAAAATATATATAATTTTGAAAAAATTGGGAAACATATAGGTAAAGATAAACCTTCATTATTAAGAAAAAATATGGTTGATGAATGTTATGAAGACACAATTATCAAAATACAAAATCAAGTAACGGAATAGAAGATTTGATTGTTCATAGACAAATCCACCAATGCTACCAGACGACATTGAAAATGTTGTAATTAGTACTTTAGAAATCAATAAACCACAGTAGTCTATCTAAATTTGGCAAATACACCTTATATGAAAACAACAACTTTACACCTACAAACAATTTTATAGTTCTGGCTAAATTCAAAGTATCACTTTGGTTCATTTTTGGAAATCGTTACAATTTATCATTAAAAACCACTATCATCTAATTGGATTGTTAAAAGGCTACATGCAACAGAGTGTAAAATAGTTCATCATATTATATTAAAAACAATTGAATKTGTCAAATGCCTAATATATAATAGCTTAAAATTACTTTAACATTAAGAATGCTGAAATGCTTTAAGTTTATAGGATAAATTATATTTTAAATTAACAGAAAATGATATTATCAGTAGGCAGTGTTGGGTGGTAACGAAAGTAACGCATTACATAATTTAATTAGAATTATTTCCAAGTAACAATAATGTAATGGAAATTACTTTTGATAAATAATTTCTATTCAATAACGAGTTACAGTTTCGAATTATTAAGAACCTACCCCTTGCGAATTGAAAAAAAAAATTATGTCTATAATGAAGGTATTATTATGTTATCAATCTAGTATAGTAATATACTATATGTATTTATTAAAGCTCCTTAAACAGCTGATCTCACAATTTTGAATTCAATGACATTGGTAAAGAAAATTTTTATTAAATACAACACAGCTTTACCATCCAGTGCTTCTGCAGAGCGATTATTTAGTGTTTAAGGACACATTTGTTCTAAAAAAAGGTTGCGTATGAGTGACAAAAAACTTTGAAAATACACTATTGTGTAAAGTTAATTAAAAACATAAATAGATATAAAATAATAATATTGTATTATATTTATTTTTTTTGTAACGAAAAAATAATGAGTTACTTTTCAATTTGAAAAGTAAAGTAGTTTTATTACAATTTTATTAGAGTAACGAATAAAGTAACTTTATTACATTTCTTTCTAAGTAACGAGTAATGTAACTTTATTACTTTTTAAAAGTAATTTACCCAACACTGACAGTAGGTGAGAAATTATTTCATAAACGATTATCCAAATTTGTCATTACTGATTATTAAAAATGTATAAGAAACTCATATAGATTTTATGCATAATTTTTACTAAATTGATATAAATTGTACCAAATTTGTAAGTTGTTTAATTGAGCATAATATTTATGCATGTTGGTGATTTTATTTTTATACATTTAGGAAAAATAAATCGATATAGTATTAAAATTGTTGGTCAAAATTTATATCTCAATATAAAATTACTTGGGTTTTTTATTAGGATTTGGCAATAGGCAGAACTTGTATACAAAATCCCAGGTCTTAGTCTTATCTGTAAAGCCAATAAGATCTCCATTTTGTAATGCAACTTCTTTGTTAATTTTTTTGTAATTCAAGAATGTACCAGTGCACGAATTCTGAAAAAAAAAAAAATTTTAAATTGAATAAGTGAAAACAAGATTTGTATATCTCATACTATCTCAAATTATAATATTAGTGTTAGAATAATGGAAACCCATGATTGATAATATTTTATAATTTATAATAAATGTATTTTGAAAAAAACAWCAGGATAATATTAAAATAAAACATTAATCTAGCATATAGTATTATAGGTTAGTAGCTTTATGAGAAAGTCACAACAAATTGCATTCATAACAGAATTTTGTTAATTAAAATTTAAAAAATTAGTAGTTATTATAAAGTTGTCTTATTAATTATTATTATTATTATTTATTAATTATTGGGTACTTATCAGTTATCGTGACTACCTAGCGAGAAGTATTGAATGGTGGTTATTATTAGCATTGCTGTGGGGATTTCTTGTAGACAAGTAATATGACCTTTTACTTGCTATTTTCCAACGCAGTTAGTGTTAGACCATTGTCGTGTGTCATGTCATATTATTACAATGCAAAATATCTGGGATTTACCATTGAACGAAAAAGATGCCATGGCTTTTTTACAAGAACATGGTGTTTTACCTAAAAGACGACTATGTGGATCTGGTCACAAAGCTAAATTGTACTTCGGAAAACAAATATTTTGGAAATGCAATATTAAATTGTGCCAAAAGAAGGTAAACATGTGTGTCGGTAATTGGTTTGTTGGCAATCGCATTTCATTTGTATGCGCTTTACGATTTATATATTGTTGGGCAGAAGAAATTACTTGGACTGTGGATTGGAATAATTATATGCGAGAAATATGTGTTTTAAGCCTAAAAAGTTGTAACGTGAAAATTGGTGGTTCAGGAAAAATAGTAGAAATCAACAAAAGTCTTTTTACAAGACGTAAAAATAATGCTGGTAGAGTTTTACCACAACAATGGATTTTTAGAGGCATTTGTCGGGAAATGACGGAATGTTTTTTAGTTGAAGTCAAAGATCGGTCTGCGTCTACACTGATACAAGCAATAAAAGATAATATAAACCAAGGTACAACTATTTATTCTTATTGTTGGCGTGGTTATAAAACAGATGAACTACAGAATGTTGGGTTTCAGCATTTAACCGTTAACCACACTTATAATTTTGTGGATCCTCAAACTGGTGCTCACACACAGAATATCAAAAGGTTATGGGGATCCTCTAAATGGCGCGACAAAAAACATAGAGGCACGGCTCGTCAACATTTGGATAGTTATTTGGTTGAATTCATGTGACGTCAAAAGCATGAAAGYCCATTTATAGGAATTTTAAATTGTATGTCTGAGCATTTTCCTCCTAGAGTGAATTATTAATTATATTTAATTTTATATATTTTTTTTATAATTTTAACAGTAGTCGCGATAACCGATAAGTACCAATTATTGGTATGATTTTATCATTTGTTTTATCCTATTTTCTTTTTGCCCAGAAAATTGTAAACATAAACTATTGGGTAAATATTTTATTATTATTATTATACTAAATTTTATTCTTTTAGACTGAATTGAAAGTAAATWTTTTTCATATTTTATCTATTGTTATATAAAAAAGACTTAAAACCATAAAAATGGAAAAAAAGATATTTGTTAAGTTCCATGATGTATGAAATGAAGTTAGTACTTTGAAAGCATTGTTTTCAGCCATTCAGAAAAATGCAAAATCTGCCCCAAGTTAAAAGGTATGAAGTCAGTTTTTACCTTACATATTTTRTTTTGTACTTCATAATATTTTTATTGTTAAGTTATCTTAGTGGTATATACTAGTCTTTTAATATAAAAAAAATAAGACAAATCAATAAAAGACAAATTTACACCAGTTTTAAATTTGTACATCCAATTTATAGCAACTACATCAAATTAAACAAACACTTAAGTTTTTAAATGAAAATGTGAAAGATATTATCTTTGAATGCAGTCATTTGCTAAACAACGGTTTAATTTAATTTAACCTACTACTCAAATAGTTCATAATATACAACTACTACACCATAAATTAGATAGTTATTTAAATTTTGTTGATAATAATTATTAGTTACATTATATTTATCTATGATAAGGACTAGTGAAATTATTAAACCTAAATAATATTATTTAATGTGTTGAAAAACAAAAAAATTCTGAACACGTGCCAAGGTGACATTGAAACAATACCTAATATTCTTTACAATGTTCAAAAATTGTTTTTTTTTTGGTTAAAAAGTTTGAAATATAATACAATGACTTCTACATGCATGAAATTAAAAAAATAAATGTTTTAATCAATAATTATTTAGTTACAAGTTGATATCACAAGATAAAAAACAATAATACTATAATATAGTATTCTGTTTAATCATGTATGTAAGTTGTTGACATTGGCCGGCCGTTCTTACCAACCAGTCTTGACTCAGCATTTAAAAAATACCAAAGTCCTGGTTGACAGCATTATATATCAGTAAAATCATACAAAAACATATAAAACTATAGGTACTTAAATTTACTTACATTGTCCTTAAGGAGATATTGATCATTTTCACATCTAATGGTAGCGTGAGAGCGAGAAATGTATAGTTCTTCAATTACTAATGAGGATTTCAGAAGGCGTCCAAAGAGAAACTGTTTAAGCAGATAAATTACAGTTAAAAACATACAACAGACACACAGAATAGTGAAGGGTTGGAATAATACTTACTTCACTGTCAGTCTTTACATCATATTGCAGTCCAGTTTTTGTATCCAATACAAACGCACGCGATACCTTTGAGTCGCTGTTCAACCTCTTAGAACTCATTACGTTTTTGATGTCTTCTAACATAATGAACAACAGCAGTAATGCATCAAAATGGCATTATATATTATGTTTTATAGAAACTAATTAAAACACAAGGGCACCTTCCTGACGAGTAAGACTAAGGTTTTGGAAAAACGAGATTGTTTAAATTGAATATTACACGGTGACAGGGTCGAATCAAATGCCGAAATATACGTGATCCACAGGACGTGTAAGGTCGTTTATTTACCATTCGGCGATACGAAATTACGAAACATATTATCTACGAAAGACGAACAAACTAACAAGAGACGCGAACGTGTTGTAAGTCGTCAGATATTAAAATGTATGAATATTTAATTATTGATAGCAAGAAACAAAATGAAAACGACGAGCGTACCACAGTTGCTCTTGTTCATCCGAATTTACAAGACCGCGAAGTTATACTGAATCACAAGAGCTCAGACTTTCGGGGTCGAAGAGTCCTACGTCAAATTGGGAGCTAAGCAGCAGAGCAGCACTTAGAGATCACCAAGCGTTAAGTCCGTACAAAATACGAATATACTATAGTATAATATTAAACATTAAACAATTTATTATAATAGTGAAGTTGAATATTCAAGTACAACCATGACACCTATATTGTACTAAACTTTATAACTTATATTCATAACCGTGATTACAACCGTCATTGTAGCTTCATCGGTGGTGATAACCGCAGTGTGACCACACTATTTTTCCGGAAGCTCGGAACTTCCAAAAAACATCGGTAACAAACCACGATACTACTCATGGTATACGAAATAAATAAATAAAAGGTAAATTAATAAATAATAGTTCCTTATGCTACGATATTGCTATTAGAATTAATTCAACATTTCACAAAGTTTGCTATATTATTATAGTCGAATTCTACAAAATGCACACTGTTGAAAATCGCGAGGTGTTTAATAATATTTTGTTCCCGGGCTGACAATTTTTTTACAAACTAGGTAAGGTGCCTAACGAATATTGGGCCGAAAATGTGATTACTCATTACTAAACGCCAAACGGGTTGCCGAGTAAATATTTATGAAAAAAAAAAATTCCAAAAAAAAATCATTCGACAGCAACAGCAATTGGTCATCCGATGTCAAACATAGTAAACGTAATATTCGAAGGTGATTTGAACATTTATTAATTATATTAAATACTGGACTAATATAATAATGACTAAGATAATCAGATAAATAGCCGATAATTTCAATGAGTTAGTTTWAAAAAAATTTTTTTTTTTTTTGTAAGAGGTGTCACAAATGTGTGATTTCCTCCTCATGTTTCCTCCTCATTATTAATATTACTTATTGTACATACTGTATTGATTTAAATTTTTCAAATAAAGCCAATTCCAATTATTAAAAAAAAAAACTTTAACGACTACGGGAGTACAACCACAGAATATATGAAATACATATTATATATATATATTTTTTTTTGAGGGGAGGCAAAACAATTATCTGTGGTAAAACTGAAATCTAAATTAAATACTTGAGAGGGCAGTTGCCTCACTTTGATCCCCCTTCCTCCCAGATATGTTTTAAAATTCTATAAGAACATATTTTAATTAGGTATTTAAAATAAATAGGTATGATTAGGTACCAGATTTCTCGAAATCCCGTTAAAATGAATCCAATATATTTTAATATAGTTATATTAAACAAAATATTAAATATATCATCTGAATCTTGTTCTAAACTGTTTTACGGAGTTTACTGAATCTATTCAAAAATCGAATAGATCAGTGTATAAAAATATGGTATAGGTATCAACAATGATTTGTCGAAAGAAAGATTAAGGGGCCGAAGATAGGCAGTTTATTTTCAGTTGTGAACTTCACAAGATTTACTGGAAACCTAAAGATAAAATAAAACAATTATCGCAAGTTTTTTAAATTTAAATATACATAGATATACAGGGTGTAACAGAAAGACCTGACAAAAAAAAAAAATTATGCCAATTCATCGTATGACAATTTTTTTTAATATTACATGATAAATAAATAATTTAAGAAATATACTCATGTCAGCAAATTTTCAAAAATCATACTTTTTTTTTAAAGTTATTGCGTTCCAAATTAATTTAACCAAAAAACTATTGAATTTTAAAAAAAATTCTAAAAAATAAACTACTTGACTTAGATAAATCTTTTTACCAATAAAATTTTTATAATCAGATTCACAAATAGGCTATTTTGAATTTATCCAACATTTTTTTTTATTACATTTTTTTTTCAGTAGTAAAAAATAAAACATAAAAAATGTATTGTACATGTAGTGCTAGGTTCACTTAATGATCAAAAAAAAAAAAAAAAAAAAAAAAACATAAATTTATATATGATAATTCAGTTAAAAATACACGGAATGATATGTATTACGTCACAGGGTCATTACACAACAATTTGATAACCAAAAAAATAAATATTTTTCCAAGATATTAATGTGAAAAAAAGTTAGTACTAAAGTCAGTTCTATTTGTTACACCTTGTATTAAAGATGGTGTAGACAAATTGTTTGTATTTTAATGTGCGTGTTTTACTGTCTTATAAATAATTAATAGATTGTAGGTATACCTCCTAAGTATTTTTTTGTTATTAATACATTTTTTTTTATCTGAACCTGACAGTTGTATTAAATATAATATTATAATCTGAAAGAAAATAATTTATTATATTATCTATACAACATTATAGCTGGACACAAAAATATAAATTTTTTTAAAAATAATTTAGGTATTCAAATGGAAGTATCCGCATCGGCTCCGGTTCGTCCGTTTCGGCTTCCTCCTTTCATTTGAAGGTGACCGAATCGGCTCCGACCTGATGTCAGTGGTATGGACGCATCGGCTCCTAATCAACAACATTTTCTTTCCCGTTTACAGGCTGAGGACTGGCTACGGTGATATGCTTAGACGCACTACACGTCTACACTTCGCAATAAAACGAGAATTAACATTAAACATTAATTTGCAATTTCATATAATTGTATATATGTGATTAACTAGTTATCAAAAAATTCGTTATCGAAACCGGACGCAATACGGCCATTCAACTGACGGCAAGGAATAACGATCCGGAGCCGATACGGTATCATCCATTCAAATTCCAGAGCGATACCTTTTTACCTGCCGAAATTCAATATTGTAATGAAAAGAATACAATCAATATTTAATTAGCTACAACATTAATGGTTATTACTAGTTATTAGTAAAATAAATACTACCATCCGGTAAACGTTAAATAGTTAAAGGTAGGTATTTAAAACATTTTAATCAACCTGTCATTAATTTTAAGCACCTACCTATTATATTATGGCATTAGCCATAAATTAGCAATAATTCGACATAAAACCTATTAGAGTGATATGAAAGTGAATATCATGTTACAGCTTGTTCAATTATAAAATTCAAAGGTGGAAATAAAAATAATAATATTTCCAAACGAAATTGTCCACTTGTTATCATACTATCTGCATGACTTATAAATGGTAATAGCATTTTTTTATGAAAAAGGAAATGCATGTGATCATATTTTCTATACAAATCTAATACCTATATAGACATAAACTGTGTAAGGTTTACTACATAACGTAACTTGTATAATTATTATACTATAATATACCTATAATTAGCTAAATATCTAAATATATATATTATGTGTACTATTATCTATAATTAATATTTATTAATGATTATCAGTTTTCAATTTTTTTATCAATTAAAGAAAGCAACCTAATATACTTACTGTAAAAATTAAAAATTAAAAATGGAAATCAAAAGTCGTGAAAAATATGTATACGTTCCAAATATGTGAACTTAAATTATTCTAAATTAGAAATTATTATATACAATGCATATTTTATATTGTTAACCTAATACAATTAATTATTTATTTGAACTCCAAATTTGGATTTTTCGAAACATTTAAATACATAATTTTACAACAACAAATAATTTTTTTTAAATTCTACCACTTTTGATATTAAGCGTCTGCAGTTTTTTCAAGAAATTCTTTTGAATATTTTGAATAATCAAAACATGCTTCATGCGCATAGTATTTCTTTATTACCGAGATACTTAGTTACTTAAGCGACAACAATTTTAATTGTTTTTATTTAATACTATTTTTATAAAGTAGGAAATAATTAATTATTCTGAAAACACATTTGCATAAACATATTACTCAAAATTATTTTTATTCGCAGACATAAAGAACGAAATTATTATATGATTTCATATAATATTTTCAAATACCTTTCAAAACGTAAATATAGGAAATATAAYAAAATTTTTTTATAAATATTCAGTCAGTGTTTTTTTATATGTATAAATAATATAATATAATTTATGTCGACTTATTTTCAATTTGAGTAGATCCAAGTTAAACGTCACAGAATGGGTTTTTAGGGATCTCGAGTTTCTATGAAAGTTCAGGAAAGCTAAAAAAATATTTTTATAATATACCTATACATATAGCTGGCGGGTGTTGCAATACGTTTATAAGAACAATATACAAGGTAACTGTCTGATATAAAACTACAAATAATTGTACATAATATGTTTATATGGCGTGTTTAATTTTTTTTAAACATTTATATAGATATTGTGGATGTTTAGTTTTTATAGAACACAATTTGAACAAGGGGTGTGTGCCCGGGAACAGTGACTCACAGGTTTGTTTACACAATTTTGTAACCCCATCCCTAAAATTTAAAACTCATTATGGATCTTTGCCTATACTTATTAAATACTCAGTGGGTATTCAATATTAGATACTTAGTACTTACTTATGATAATGTCAACGATTGCCAATGTGTTAAGTTGTTTGTTTGTTCGAGAATTGAAAATCTGTCATAGCCGCATCAATGGTACGTGCGCCGGTACGTATCGTTCTGACCATAGGGGAAGAAAAAATTATTATTATTATGCCATTATATTTAAAAAAAAAAAAACAGCGCGTCTGATCGCTGTCGGCCAACCCCTGTCACAACTGTACCAACATGGCAACATTGTCAGAAAAATATGGCAAATAAGTACAGTGTCTACAATATTATGATTGGTTCCTAAAAGAGTATTTTCTAAAAATATTTTTATTTTTTTTGTTAAACTTCACTCGTTCTCTCTCATCTTATTAACGGGTATTATTACAAAATATGTACCTAGTTTTATAGTAATATGCCGTATTTATCTAATAACTTCGGTCCCGGACGTCCTCTTTCTAGCAGTGTTATCAGTCTGTTTCGTCAGCGAAAACAAATATGGCGAGCTGCTGGGGGACGCACATTTCACGTTGCCAGCACTGTTTTCAAGTTAGCTTCGAACCGTGGCCACCGCTAGGCGATTGACCAGACCGGCAGACCATCCATGACACTTGTTCTGTTGTATACTGCTGTACGATATATTATAGTTCTAAAGAGATCTTGAGACGTATAACTCGTGTCTTGCACTTGTGTAATAGCTGTCATTGTTCCGGTATTCCTTCGGTGAAAAGGACGTATATACCTGTTGAACGACCAGAGGATTTGGTTTCGCGCGCCATTTGAATCCACCGCAGAACGATAATATACCAGGTAACTGGTTCCTACTAGATCTTTTGCACGGTTTTGTTATCTATAATAACTTTATTAAAATTTACAAATAATAAGGCGGCTTTTCTATTATAATAAGATATTTTTTTAAGTAATGTATATTATTTTTTTGAATTGAACAAAAACATCTCTATAATTTTTGTTTGATTAGCTTAATCAATGATATAATTTACTTTAGCTATATAATTTAGTGGAGAATCYGATCACTGATGACATTCCTGTACATTACTAAATTACTTACGTCATTCGTGTTTTTAAACAAATTACAAATTGTTTGCGTCTAATCGAAATTCCATCAGTGTCCGGGTACTTCATCCCTATGAGTTTTAATTAATCGATTTCGACATATATCGTCCAAAGTGTTCAGGTGTTGAACACGTCTGGAAGTATTTTTATGATCGAGCAGAAGCTGTAATGAAGTTAATTTTTAAAATAAATAAACATTTTCATTATTTTGACATTTTTTTCGATATGAAATATTATATGATTATAAGAACATTGAAATATGTAGCAAAAACGCCCCTCAGTTAAAAAATAATCGTAAACACTATGTTTTTCTTATAAACATCATAATATTAATACATTATATTATGATATATTGTGAAATTATAATTTTTAAATTTGTATTAGGAATAATAATAAAATCCATAAATTAATAATTGATATGTTGGAATTCACTATTATAATTTTGATAAGTGGTGTAAATAATAATGTTTTTTATATTTATTTTTTGTACTTTGTAGAATTTTCGAAGAACAGTTACATAAACAGTTTCATATTTCGATTGTCGCGATCAGTCTGTGAATATGGGTGAAAACAAAAACAACTCTTGGTTTAAGTATCTTGAAAGCGTGGGAGGTATGCATTGCGACGAGGCCACATTATTTTTGACGATTATTTTCGTTTTTGACTTACCATGCTTCATTGTTTTTCATTATAGATGTATCATCAAGCTCTGCAGAGCGACCAGAAGAGAGTCGTATTATAGAAATACTTCGAAGAAAATTGTTTCCACCAATCGAAATTTGCTTAATAAGTTATGAATGCAAAATTTGTATGAAAATAATTTTGGAGGTAAGAGTTTTGTTTTATCTGTTCACGGATGTAAACATGCAAGTCAAATTTTTTAAGTTCTATTCGTATATATTTTATAATATAGATGCGCATTGGAATGCATTTTCACAAATTCTGTTTGACATGTGTACCACGGATTAATTGCACACAAGTTTGTCAATCAACGTTAATTCATTCATCAGCCAATAGTAAAGAACATCAAGAGAAAGTTTTAAAGCAATTTCGAGCATTAGGCGGGTATACAATTAAATTTATAGAAACACACAAAAGGAAGTACGTAGAAGATGAAAATTCAGAATAATTTGTAAGTTTCTTATGGCTTTCGTAAATTAGTTAGTGTATACGTATACCATAACAATAGTTTAATTTCATACTGAAATTTTTTACAATAATCAGTCCTATATATGACCTTAAGCATAGGTGCAATTTTAATAAAAAAAAATTAAGGGTGTTTAAACTATCTATGCATTTTCTCGTTTTAGTTTTTTTTTAAGGAGAAGTTTTTGATTCATTAATACGAACATTATTTGAGAGTGCTAATTTTAAAATTGTGGGTGTTAATACCACCTAAGCCCCCTCCCCCTAATTCCACCTATGAACTGAAATATTGCTGGTCGTAAAATTATGTAATTCTCATCAAATGTTTGGTGTCCACCCCCAAAATTTACTCCTAAATTTAGGAAATTGTTATATCATTGTTAAATACATAAAAGTAAAAACATACTGACATTGTAGTACAAACCAGTTGCATATAAAGGTACTTAATATTGTATCTTAATTAAAATATAAACAATATTATTTACGATACGCAATTTTATTTGCTTTATAGAGTCACAACTTCAAACCTCTCTCTTGGTTGCGCCACTGCTTATTAGTGTTTCTAAAAACCTAATTTTGTTTGTTATTTTTATTTAAACGTTTAGTAATGATACATTTTTGAAATTCTTTTGTCGAATACATGGCTTTAGGCAGTTTTTTTAGATAGAGCACGACGAGAAGCAAGGCTGGGCATTAACGAGTTAAAAAGTTAAAGTTAAGTTAAAAAGTTAAGTTACTCTTAACTAAGTTATTTAACGAGTTACTTTTATTTTCAAAAGTAACTTCCAGCTTAACGAGTTTCTTTTTTGTTTTAAACAACTTCTAACTTAACGAGTTAATTTATTAATTTGTCCTAATATAAATTTCATATATTTAAAATTATATTTTGATTTTATATATATATATATATATATATAATAATTGTGGGAATAACCAAATACTTAACGATATGAATGTGAGTGTTTTGCATTATTTCTATATCTGAAATTTCAATAGATATTAGAATAACGTGTATAAGTACAACTATCTACTTATATAACATATGGGAAACGATTTACGAGTAATATAATAATAGTATTAGATAATAATATTTTATTTTAATCTGCTTATTCGCAGAAAATATGTATATATATATATAATATATATTATTATAAAACAAAAATGTTATATATGTGTAATTTATTTAATTAAATCCTAATAACAAATTTAATAATTACAATTTACAAATTTAATGGGTATTAACAAGAATAAAATGTTTAAGTTAAGTCATTATTTTGGAAAACGTGTAGGTAAAAAAAATACATTGAAATAATTTATTTGTTTTGTTAGATTTCATAATTGATTGAAGTATGTAAGTAGTACTTACTAAGTACYTACTGTAATTAATACAATTACATATGTTTATTGAAAATAGTTAGACTTCCATTATATTGTGTTATTTGTTAAGCTTTGATAAAAATGTATGATAATTTATTGTACATGGAAAAAGAAAATTAACTAATTTTTAAYTTTAAACTTAACTTACATTTTTCTGTATTAATTTAACTTAACGAGTTAAAATAATTAGTTAACTTGCCCAGCCTTGACGAGAAGGTTCTTTTACTAGCGTACCTCCTATTAATTGTTACAGCAACTAGACACATTAAAGTTTAAAAAAAAACCATTGTATTTATGAAAAAAAACATTACTTATAATTCAGGAACAGCTGTTTCTAATATTATTTTTGATGTTTAAGATTGAGGAGGGGGATTCTGAATTACAACATCCTAATTCCTAACGTATACCTAAGACTTAATAATATTGAAAATTAATTTTTACAGTGTTCTAATATAAACGAAAATCCAGGAGGAATAAACAAGAAATCAAATATATTGCAATCTACAATTTTCTTTAAAAAAAAACCATTTTATTTCATTGAGTAGATGTTAGATTTTCATATCTGTCTTTTACCTCTTATAAAATTTAAATTTAAGATTATTATTAACAATATCAAAGGCTTTCTACTATATTTTATTATTAAAAAGATTAATGAGTATTTTAAGATACAAACATAATTTTATCGATTTAAAAAMAATTTTAAACTTTACATTATTTTATTCTTCTTTAATTATAATTTGTTTTTAATGATTTTATATTTGAATATGAATAATAGTTTTTAATGTCTAAAATTTTTAATTGTGTGTTATTATTGATTTCTAATTTATTATCTTACATTGTTTATGGATGAATAAAATTCAATAAAAATATTCGATATATCAGTTTGTGTATTATAACTACCTTACTATTCCTATATTTTTAGTTCGAACAATGAATATTTAAACGTGTTTGTATTAGATACTTTGTTTATTAGTTAAGGTTGATATTTTGTGTAATGAAACGTATAAACAATAAAAAACTTTTTAATTATTTTGTGTATAAATTTTGAGTATTATGACACAATTGGGATATTTATATTTGGGCTGCAATTAGTCTATCTGCCTGTAATTTTTTCGAAATTTGCAGGAATCTGACAAAATGTCATCATTATATAAAATGTAGCAACAATATCATATAATAATATATTTTTAACCGGAATTCAAGTATAATTATTAGTGAGCATTCTATAATATAATAATTTATAATTTGAAATTATTATAAAATTAGGTTAATTATTATTTATAGAATGAAAAAATAAAACCACTCAACAATAAATATGCTTGAATTGTATTTATGTATAATATTGTTCTTATATTTCTGATATAATATTTTGTTTTAATATCTTATTTTTGTACTAGATACTCATTATTATATGTCTTCATTTCCCACTATAGCTATTAAATAATAATTATACTTACTACTAATTTAACTTGAGTTACCTATGATAAAATGATAGATTTAATGAATACCGGTGCTATATTTTATACCTAACGACATGCTTTTGTGTACGCGATGTTTTACTGAGTTCTACGTCACTTTGTATGGTCGAACCTAAAATGTGCGATATGTGGACATTTAGTGCGGTCGGGTGAAAAATTAGATTGCAGAACTCGGGCACTTTGTACGCTTGGGTAAACCATTAGATTTTTAAACGTGGATACTTTGTACAATTATATGGCTAGTAGTAGGTGTAGGTAATATGAAAAAAGTGAGTCGTTACGGGACGCCTAGCAGCTGATGTGAAACATATTGGATTATCACTGAATATGATGAATGGTCGGAACAATTTTTAAATTACAAATTTAGTTTGATCCACTCATATACAATCTATACAATGTGTGGATAATAAATGTACACTAAAAATTAACAAAATTATTATGAAATGTTCGAAAGATGATTAATAAAAGTTTCAATTTTCTTATGTATGAAACGGATTTTGTAGGTACCTACTTGAAATTCGATTTTCATACAAAGAAATTCTCTTAGAAATATTCAGCTTTATAAAAAGGATGTATTATAAATGCATGATGTCATTGAAGAAAGTATAATATATTATTTTTTTTTTAGGACAATTTGAAGTTATGTATAATAAATAATGATATTCTTCGATAAAAGAATCACTGGTATATGCCTAAGCATCGTTTAGTACCTATTCGTAATTAAATTTTAAAACGTTAAGTATTTTGTCAAAAAACTATCTAATCTTAAATGTTGCAGTAAATAATTTTTATTATATTTTGATTTTGAAATGTGTTATAAGTATTTTAAGATGTATAAACAATTTACAATTTTGAAATATTTATATTTCGCTTGAAAATTAAAATATAATAAAAAGCCCTCGAGGCCATCTAAATAATACTTTTACTTTTAATTTTTTTTAATTTGTCACTAATTTTTAAACTAACGGAGCTAAACAAGATCTGCTGAGCGTAAGGTTTACCTAGTCACGCAATTGTAAGATGGAGACAACTAATGTGGTTATTACGTCATCTTATGTACCTATAATACTATAATTTACGAACTATTGTGTTTAATACTTCATTGTTATTGATTATAAACGCGAATTTCAGCGAAAAAATCTGTAATATTGTTTCATTGGCCTAGAATTATCTCTGCCTCTTAGTTTGTACATAATTATAATATTTATTTATAATTTATATAATATAGAAAATACGCGTGATAYACATAATACGATAAATCTTTTGAAATGCATACACGTATATACGAAAATAAATATATAATTATGTGGTTTTAGTGTGTTTTACATGCAGACGGAATACAATTTSAATAATAATAATAATCTATTCTCATGTACATAAATTGTTGTTGTAATAGAATAATAAGAACGGGAGACTTGGGTTAATATAAATTGTCGTCATACATTTAGAATAACTAAAATAATATTCAAACCATCGACTCCGCGGCGTCAGGTTGTAACATAAATTATAATATGGGTACCTGCTGTATATAATATCGTTTTACATTCTATATTTCTTTTTTCTAATAGATTGTAATCCCGAGTAGGTATACATTTTAAAATAATAATAATAATAATAATAATAATAATAATAATTATATTAAAATGGTGTATAAAGTCCGACCGGATGATGATTTGAATCACAAAACGAGTTCGACGAGGTCAAATGTCACAACGTCGCAATTAGGGTCGGCCACTCTGCCGCGTTTCGATTCGACGTTTTCTCTATAACACAGGTGGCGTTCTACGAGTATTATAATCTTGTTAATTTATTATTATCACCTGAGTAATATTACTAAAAACTCCAACTAGACATATATTATTTTGTTTCGTCTTCTACGCTACCTCCTTCTATATTTACAATTTTCAACTTTTATAATACTGTTTTTACTACTGGTTTTGATACTACTATAACGTAAGGCACACTAATGTTTGTCTGTCCTATAGTAAAATAATGTAGTAAGAATTTCACGCATTATATTGTATATCAGAAAAGTTGCCATAAGGTTTATAATATTTTCCGGGCTTAAACCCCTGACAATCCTGTAATTAATATGAATTTTGGAAAAAAATGATCCTTACCAACAAAC